TATCAGAGAGGAGAGCAAGTAAAAACCTAATTCAAACAACAACTTTTTCTAAAATCTTTGGGGGGGTTTTCTTGTGACTTTGATAGTTTCACTTATTTAGAACACAAAAAAAGTATTCAGTTATAGCATTAGCAAGCAAAAACTATTTGGTTGAACTGGTCACAACCGTTAGACCTATGCAACCTCTGCTCTAGCATTTTCTTACTGAAGATGAATATCAAAGCCACTCCCTCTCGCTTTTGTATTCTACACCCTATCCTCGGGTTCCTGTTCCTGCTGTGCGCCGTCAAGACAAAAAGATCTAATACTTCCTTCATTTCCTAACCAAAATAGTAAAACAGGGGCAGGCAGTCTGGCAGACTATCCACACTGCTGTTGAACTTGATGACATCTCTTGCTCTGATGTTATATATAATGTTTCTGTTTTGCATTATACTGCTTACTGTTTTATACAACAGTTGCTTTCCTGAACTTAACACGCCAGTCTTGTGTTCCGTGATTTATGGGGTGTTTAATGTACTAAGGCCAGCACAGCTCTTTGTGTCATGTCTTGTTATATTCACTGCAAATCTAATCTCACACTTCAGGCACAAATAAAGATGAACTATAAACCATAACGGTTGAAACAAGAGCATTAGACTAAACCCTGGAGCCAGTGGTGAGCGCTGACTCGGAGGGCAAAACTTCTGAGAACAAACTGCCATGCGATTCTGGGGGAAGTCTGGAAGAGTTCAACCCCAGTCACGGAGACTGAGACAATTTGTATATGAGTGAAAACACAAACTGTCAATTGAACTTTTACTCAGCATGCGCCTTTGTGAAGGCGAGAGTAAGGAAAAGTATTCTGACTATACAGTAGATTACATGTATGTAGAGTTTATTGTTAACACTGATATATAGTGTTCATTGATGTGATATTGTATTATATAAATACTTGTGTGTTTTTGCATATTCCGCTGCATTTTGACCTAACTTTATCTATTGACTGATACATGAATACTCTAATGTGTCTTCTACTTGCTGTAATTTATTCTGGAAGCCTACGAGGATCATATCTAAGGCAGTTATATAATCCTCAACAGCAGTCTTCTTGATTGACACATGATGAGTGTGTGTGGCAAAGGAAATTACATAAAGCTATCCCTGATGCTCTGTATCTCCGTGGGTGGTTGGCAGTGATAGAAGTCATATGGAGGAACATATTTATCCATGAATTCACTGGAGATATTATTGTACAGGGATCCATCCCATAGCCTAACCTAATTCTGATATTCCTCTAACTTCTCCACCTTAAACATGCGTTAATTGAACCTGATAGGTAATGCCATGGGTAGGCTATAACTGAGTGATTTTAGCTGCTGATATCCAACTAATGATAAGTTTTAAGAAGTGATGATTGAAATTGCGTGGACAGTGGCTCCCTGTTAGAAGCTGGGAGCTCTGCATAATAAGGAAAACTATGTGAATATGATAGGCTGCATGGGCTACTAGTTTTGACCTGTGATTATCCCGATAACCTGTCCTTGATGACCATACTTTATGTAAAAAAAGTTCATAATTTGATTTAATTCCAAATGCACACAGTTAGTAGCCTACAACACATGAAGGCAGGTTGTTAATCTTTATGTACTTGTGGTGATTTCAGGGTATAAAGCATCCATCAAGTATTGCAATATTTCAATATAATTTTAACTTTCACAGCATAGGCTACTATTGTATCAGTGGAATACTGAATGAGTGCTGCCTCTGTAATACAGTAGCATTAAAAATCAAGTGCTTCTTGTATGTAGCTTCACAGGAACTCAGAGTAAATGTTTAGTCACAGAACTGTGAATAAAGTTTTGTGTTATATTTTTGAAATTATACAGGAAACAACTTGCTTAAATTACATAATAATTATAAACCAGACCGGCAGAATTGCAGTGACAGCTCTTATATAGGCTATTATGAAGTGGTCACAGCCTACCTCTAACCTCCAGGAGGGAAACGCCGTGGTTTGTTGCATCCCTGCGAACAGAAGACTGAGCAGCGCAGCAGCCAGCAGAGGAGCGAAGCCCCAGTTGCCTCTGCTTAAACTTCTGGGAGTCTGACAGCACACCATGGCTCCAGGGGGGGAAATAGACAATCCCTCAGCACACAGGTTTACCATCTATGTCCGTGAACTCTACTTCTTGGCCATTGCACGTTTCGGTGGGGTGTTACTACTTGGGTAGGTCCTGGTGCTGTGTGCGGCAGCGCAGTCCAGCCTGCGGACCGGGTAGTGAAAGCAGTGCTGACTGCAACAGCTCTTCTCGGCTCTCTTCCGCACGGTGCGCCTGCCAGAGGGCTGGTTTCATATTACTGTAGATGGGGCAGGGGGTCAGTGTCGAGACGATCTAATGAAAACCAAACGCGCTCTGTCCATCAAACCACTTGTTGCAACCACTACAGCTCTGTTAAAGCAGAATCAGATGGCTTATTTTGAACATGATTTTTTATGTAATACTGCTGGTGAAAAAAACGTCTGCGCTTTAGGCATGCACAGACACTTTCTGGGCAGGGTAACACAACAGGGCATCACAGTGGGCTGTTGCGCATTATTCTGTGACCCATCTTGCCAACTGCCCAGGACTCCAGACAAAAATCCAATCTAACATGTTATCACACAAAACATTGCAAGTTTCAGTTAAATAGAAGTGCAGCTGCATTGTGCTCTCTTTTTAACATTCTTCCAGAGAATTACATTTTCTTTTGTTTAGACTTTTGTAAAGTTTTGTTCAAGTTGTGTGTCCTCCCACTGGGACTTTAAAGTATTTCTGTCCAATGAGGGCAGCGTGACATGAACTTTGCAGGAGCCACAGTGAGTGTACAGACTGCTTGCACTGGCATGGAAAAGGGGATTTAATTTGCAAATTGCCATACTGACAGTTGTAGAAGGGACTCTGGGCTGCATGGTTGGGTGATGGTCTTGAATCTCATCATCTGATCTCGATTGTGGACCATGCTGATGTTTTGGGTGAAAAATGTGCTACAATATGATGTTATATTTCTAGGAAGAAAGTAGAACAATGGCCAATAACTGAGATGACATGATTATTATTTGGACACAGTGTTTTTTTTTTTTTTATAAAAAATAAATCACAGTTTAATCCTTTTTCACCCTAGCCTCACTGCCCTTAACAATCTAGATTGTGTTGGCCTGGTTAAGTAGCAATATCCCATCCCATAGTCAGGTCTCTGAAGCAAAACAGCAATCTGTTGCCCTTCAGGGACCCTGCATTAACATGTTTCAGTGTAAATTATTGTCAGCATCCAGGAATTGATTACAGTGATATTTTGCTGCTTTTTAAAGTCTGAATTACCCAACTGATGATGAACTTACTTAGTGGTAGCCTAAAATCAAAATGCACTTTTCTTTATTTATAGGCTTTTTTTTTTTGCTGAATATCATTGAATATAGTTCAAATGGACTGGATCAGGATTTTTTGACTAGGCCTTTATGGCAACGGCCACGCATGCTGCGGTCGGACTTGGACCAGGCACCACGGCGCGTGCTGCGAGCGGTCCGGGAGGAGGAGGAGAGGAAACAGAGCAGGGATAGGAGCCATGCTGGCCCAGTTTGGACTTAAGGCGGCTCCTGGCTACTGGCCGATCTGGACCAAATGGGACTCAGGCTGGCCAAGCAACAGGAAATCAGAGCGTTGTGTCCACATCTTTACAGAGACCTGCTCAATCAACATGCCGGATCAAGTACTACTCGACGGGCAGACCGTTCCCGAGCTGACAGAGCGAAAGACTCCGGCAAGATCAGAGGAGACTTAAGCCTAAACGGTGTTTACGTCAATGATGTTTGGAGCTCAGACAGTCCAAATGGATGGACACTGTCCAAACTGTCAAACTTTTTATATGAATCCCCTGACGAAAATGAAAAAAATGTAGCCTACTGCAGAATTATTTACTGGGAATAGGCAACGTGTATGTGCTATAGGCCTGTTTTATTTTATAGGTAAGCTATGTCACCCAATTCTAAGTATTGTGCATGCTGACTTATTGGATTTGCTTATGGGACACTTAAATGGAACAGAGCCATCTTGAACAATAGTCTGTTTATTTCTTCCACCTGTGACAAGTCAAAATGTCTTCTGTGAAGAAAGCCTATGTAAAGTATTAGACATTTTTCAAGTTTTTTTTTACATCAGCTAAGAAGCACTGTTGGAGTCTTCTGAGTTCTAAAATCCCTGTACACAATGGCTTCAAATGGTACTCTGCTTTTGTTTAAACTGTGTAAAGCCTATTAGGACTGCTCAAGTATTAGTGGTATCTTGTTTAGGCTACTTGATAATAATAATGGGGTGTGTTGTAGGCCTACATCGCCATCTCCAAAATACTGTAGACCTATTGCTACTAAACACCTGTATGTTTCATTGAACTGCACTGTAGCCTACCTGCATGCAGTTGCATGCACCACAGTTGCACCTCCACCTGCTCATCAGCAGCTTCTTCCACTTGAAAGAAATAAAGAAACTGTAGTTCCAATTTTCATCCCATTAAAAGCCCATGGTATAAGCCATTCTGTGTTACCTACTCTGAAACAGTTCACTCTTTGGTAGCAATAAGGGTGTGTTATGATGGCGTCAGTTTCTCCTATGCAGATTGTAATTTGTTCCTCTCTTCACAGAGAGTTTGCACAAGTGGAATTGCTCTTTATGAACCTACTGAACTATCGACTACATGATCTATGGACACTACAAAGTTTTTCATTTTATAGATTTGTCGTATCTTTAGCACTTGAACAAAAATAGATTAATTAAAATAGATTAAAATGATGATCTAGCCTATACAAAGTACAACAAGCATTTATTGTTAATAATCGCCCTGTAACCATAAAATAATTTAGGTTTAATACCTTGCTATAATTTATTTCTTAATTTCTTTTTGTACTGTAAGAAATTGTTTGTTGAAATAAAATGCACGTCGGAACCATTGTATGAGATACGGTTTCTTCGACCTCTGTGCGATGTTACACTTCTGGCAGAGGAAATGGCGGCCGTTGGGTTAACGGTGGCCAACAAGTCAACTGTCGAAGTTGACACCGAAACTACCTAACTTCCTCTCACCGTACCCGGCTCTGTGGCCACATAAATATGTTTTTAAGGGGAGTGAAAGCCAGTGTGTGTCCGATGGTAGAGACATAACAGGTAAGAGCTGCTGACAGACCAAGAACGTTAGCTCAGATGCTAGCCAGTTAGCTTTAATCCCATAATCTCAGTAACGTTAGTTAGCCTGTGCTTCTTTGCCACCCCCAGGTGCGGTGGCGTTACGCCATGGAACGTTAGTTGGCAAATGTGTTGGTTTTCCCTGAAAGTAGTTTCTCCAGCGTTTGAGTTTGGTGGTATTTAACGCCACGGCATTAAGTGCCACGTGTATTGGCAAGATATACAATTAGAGACGGTTTGTAAGTTACAGCGTGGGAACCACCCACTTCAACGTTACCTTCAGTTCAAAGTGGCTGGCAGTCACCTTACTGTAATGTTACTGCACTCAGCCCGTTGCTTTCATGGCAGCTGTACTCTGTGGAAGACAGTAACTTAGTAAATTTACTCAAGAACAGATCTGAGATACTTGTACTAGAGTATTTTCTTTTCATGCCACTTTTCTGCTTCTGCTCCACTAACGTTAGAGGGGATATCACAACATTTTTCTGACAGCTTTAACGTTAGTTACTAATTACTTCGAAAAATTAAGATTTGCACACACAAAACATATGAAGAGGTTATAAAATATGATGTTTAGTTTTAAATTAAACTACCCAACAGTTTATACAAGTACAGCTGGAAAGACTAGTCCATGAATTATTTTGATCGTTTAAGTAGTTTTCCATGCTTTTCCTTTTTAATGGTTTTAATAATATGACTGTATCACTAACAGTATTGAGACAAAACAAGCAGTGTAAATGTGTCACTTTGGGCCACTGGCAATTGTGATGACATGTCTCGCTATCTTCAGAATGTTTACACACCAAACAATCGATTAATGGAGTAGTAGTACAAAGTAGTTCAAAATGAGCTCCACATCAACCAACTGCAACAGTAAAATCCTGTTTTTACATTAGTACATGATTAATATTAATCTCATCGTATAGTAGCAAAACCTGCTGCAGTACTTTTACTTCATCAGTGCCAAATGAATGCTGTCTTCACCAACTTAGTGTGGGGAATGTAAATGTGAGGTAAATTTTTTTTTTAATGTAACTAAATATGCCAAACTCCTCAATGCATCTGGAATGATTAAATAACGACACCTATTCAATGCAACAGGCACATTTTGATTAGTTCTCAAGGTACTTAAGTTTGCTACTCAGGCCTGTTTTTATATAGGGAAATGTTACAGTATGTACTTATGTCTTTTACTTATGCTGATAACGTTTATTTTGCTGCTACAGGAACACCAGACTCTTGACATTTGGGAACACTGCTGGAACTGTAGACCCCTTGCAGAGGAATGGCCAATGAGCAGAAACAAAGTAGGGCAGAAACATTTGTACTGGCTGGACCGAATGGTCACAATGGACAACAGTGGCAGACTGGAATGAGTAACTCGGTCAGTCACTCTCCAGGCACTAACCACATGTCGAGGATGGCTCGCGTTGCTTCAGATGTAAGGCAAAAGTGTGCGGCCTATGTGCTAGCACTGAGACCATGGAGCTTCAGTACCTCGCTGACACCGGTGGCCCTTGGCAGCGCTTTGGCGTACAAACTGGATGGCTCTGTGGATTTGGTCATCCTGATGGTGTGTGCAGTGGCTGTCCTTGTAGTCCATGGGGCAGGCAACCTTGTAAACACCTACTATGACTTCTCCAAAGGGATTGACCACAAGAAGAGTGATGATAGGACTCTTGTGGATGAAATATTGGCACCGCAGGATATTGTTATGTTCGGAGCATTGTTATATTCTTTGGGGTGCTTGTGTGCCACTCTGCTTTACTTCCTGTCTACACTTAGACTGGAGCACCTAGCCCTCATTTACTTCGGGGGACTCTCCAGCTCTTTTTTATACACTGGAGGTGAGTAAAAAAATTTACTTGAATCTATTGGATTGCTGCTTTGCTGTTCATCTGCCGCCTCAGGCACTAAAAGCACAATCTCTCACACACACACCCTACCATAATCTGCACTAGGCAACATTGCATGTTAGTGGCTCAAGGTGCCAGCAATAGGTTAGTGTTGAAAAATGGGAACTTGCATATGATGTCAAGAAAGTGTGCTGGGACATGTTTCCCTATACAGAGCATTTGCTCACTGTGGTTGAAAAGTTTACTTGTAAACTCTTTTTTTATCTGTCATACAATTTGTGGTAGCCATGCAAATAGTTTGGGTTTTATGTGTCAGGGTTTTGGTATATTCGCCTATGAAACATGTTCATCCACCCTAAAAACCACCAGACTGCAGAGCAGCTTTTCCCCCATGCTATCAGACTCTTAAACTCTAATTCATCCTCAGCGCTGCTCCATTGATCAGTGAATATTGTTTATTTCTGTTTACCATTTTAATAATTGCTTCAGTATTAATGTATATTGTCTGCTTTGTAGCTGAAGGGAGTTACAAAGGTCAATTTGAGATTGTGACAATAAATGTACCTACCTATCAATTGTGTAATGAGGTAGAAGTGTTTTGACTAGTGTATCCCAACTAAGTGTGATGTACTTATTGTACTAGCTATAACATGTCTGAACCATGGCTTTTGTATTTTTCTGAAGGTTTAATGGAAATGTTTAAAATTCTGTTTTCATTGTCACCGGTCTGGGGGTGAGGGTATAAGCTGCTTAGTAACTCAATTGTTTTGTGTATTTGTTCTGTGTTTTGTATTTTCTGTACTAGGTATGTTAGATATAAAATATATTTTTTTCCTGTTGTATTATGTATGTGTGCCTTGGTACCCTCTTGAAAACAAGACGCTGCATCTCAAGGGGCTATCCACTAATAAATTTGAAATAGAAATTTCTACTTCTCAAAGCACTGAAGAGTTAAATTTGAAACACTCAGCAGCTGTGTGTTTTTGGTGGCAGTTGATTCAGATACAGATGTCTGAAAACCAGGGTACATTTAACTGAAACCATCTGCATGGCTAGATAGTAAGTGAGAAAATACTTTACATTTGGCAGATGTTGTCAGGATTAACAAATCCCAACCTCACTAACTGAGCTACAGTCACCTGTTTGTTGGGATTTGGGTGAACTGGCTCTTTAAGGCAGAGAATATTTTCCAAACATGACACTAATGTGTAACATTTTTTCTTCTGAAAGGAGCTTAAGTGTTCATTCATCACTCTGTGGGTGGAGATGTACAGTGTAAACTTTCCATCAGAATTTCTTTTTGCAAAACACATTCTTGCAGCTTGTTTTAAAGATGTGATGTTCTTTTCTGTTGCAGCCTCACTATATGATTTAGGCTAATATTGTGATTGGTGTGTTTTTACCTTAAATGTTTTCCTGATTTATTTAAAAAAAGAATTTATAGAGTAATTCTACTGTCACTGACAGGTCACACAAAGATCAGTTTACTTGCCATGTTGTACTACTCATCCTGTGAAAACAGTTGTCTTCTGTCACTCTGGAGGAGCTTTGTGAAGTCTGAGAAAATAAACCAGGTGACGTCACCAGGGTTATCTCAGCTTAGGCTTTGAGACTACAAATATATCACAGAAACCCTGTGTTACAACCTGGGGACGTGAAGTTTGAAAGACTTATCTGTAACCCCAAAGATCATGTTTTAATTTGTAACCAAATGCTACATTTGACTTCTGCAAGTTGCACATACAGGACCAGAGCGTATGAATGAAACACTGAAAAGAGTTGCCTGCGAGAGAGTTTTGTTGACAACCACTAATCAAAAGGCTAAATGCGGCATCTGTTTACTCCTTTCCCCAGGCATTGGCCTCAAGTACGTGGCCCTGGGAGACGTGGTAATCCTCATCACCTTCGGCCCGCTGGCAGTCATGTTTGCCCACGCGGTGCAGGTTGGCTACCTGTCAGTGCTGCCGCTGGTGTATGCCGTCCCACTGGCCCTCAACACAGAAGCCATCCTACACAGCAACAACACCAGAGACATGGACTCTGACAAGCAGGCGGGCATTGTCACCCTGGCCATCCTTATAGGCCCCACACTGTCCTACGTCCTCTACAACCTCCTGCTTTTCGTCCCCTACGTGCTCTTCTGCATCCTTGCCACCCGTTACACCATCAGCATGGCGCTGCCCTTGCTCACGCTGCCCATGGCCTTCCCGCTGGAGAAGCAGTTCCGCAGCCGATGCTACGCCAAGATCCCCCAAAAGACGGCCAAGCTCAACCTCCTCATGGGACTCTTCTATGTGTTTGGGATCATTCTGGCGCCGCCTGGCAGCTTGCCGTTATTGTGATTAATTAGCTTTGATATTTCAAATTTTGTCGTTTTAATACAGACTAGTTTATGTATTTGTATGAAGCTATCTGAGGGCTTTTACCGACTTTAATTTACTTTCTAATTTATTTGTTAAACAGAAATTTTGTTTAGGTCCTCCTCTGCGACGCTGAAGGCATAATAAGATGTATACGTTTCAGTATTAAGCCCGCTGTAATGTGTTAAAAGTAATAAGTGTTGGTGTCATTTTGTAGAGGTAGGAAACATTTTCATCGTACAAGGATGGACAATAAACCCACAGTTGCCATATTTGTTCTTCTTGACCTAAAAACATCAATAAACCATTATTCCCCTATTCTCAACATTATACGGTATATACTGTTAATTTGTTTATTGTGAATTATGTGTTTTGGGAAAGCCAAACAGTACTTTATTGGATTGTAATAAAACCCACTGATGCTTATATCCCATGTGTTTGTGGATTGTGGATCAAAGCTCACTTTTCTAACAGCATAAACAAATATAATACAATATAACATGCAAGTTAGCAATCTGAGTTGTAGCAAAGGACATAGAGAGATAAAGCAGCACATTATCTCAAATCCAAAATGTGGCAGTTGAGTGGCTGAATGGACACTGAATAAGAAAATAACAGTTGAAGCAGAAATGTTGGCCCTAGTTTCACAGTCATCAAGCTGTAACCTTCAGGTGTGAACCACACTTAAAGACCGGCATGTATTCCTTAAGACATTCCCCTTGTGTTGGTAGAGTGGGACACAACACACTTCTGACAGTGTTTCTAAATGAAAAGCTCAAGTTTTCAAATGACACTAGACGGGTATTAGACACCACAAGAATCATCACTTTTTTTCTTTGTTACAATACATGCATGCATATTGTTATCTAAGGAGGGTTAAATCAAGGGCACCCTACGGGACTGGTTGACTGGAACTGGATGTCCCTTTTGGATTGTGTACACATTTAAGTGGACAGTGGCCTCCACATCGGAGTTCACAAGAACCAAAAGACCACATCCTGGTGTTTTTGAACACTAAAAATAAGACAGGCTGGTTCTCAATAAAAACCACACACCCAAACACAAGAAAAGCAATGCAGTGCATGCTGTCCTGTGCAGTGAGGAATGAGCAGGCCTGTACAGAGGTGACTCTAAGCGAAGGCCTGAGTCAACACAGAAGGGCCCTCTCCCCAGGTAGTTTACCTACCATAACGACAAGGGACACTTTATCGAGGTCAACAATGTTCATAGTTTGGACAGGTAGTGCAGATGATTTGAAAGAAAAGTGAAGGAAACTATCTACACTAGAGTAGATCCAATCTCTCAACAAGGGAGGAGGTTTGCGTCACCACTTATGCCCCACCCACAGCACGACGAGGAGCACTAAAGAAACAAGCGGTGTCATCACCTTGACAGCGACCCCACTGAGGTTAAATTCCTGGGACTTCCAGCCAGTCAGTCAGCCCCGAAGAAGCCTCTTGGATGAGAAGCGGAACGTCTTCAAGTATCCTCAACCTGTTTTACACTACCTGAGACTTGACACGTAGGCCTAAGATGCCCCCCTCCCCCTTTCCCTGTCCTTTTCAGTCAAAGAAACACTTTTTTCATTTGATACGAACAGTAGCCTAAGTAATTGAATAGATTCAATATAGACGAAGTAGCCCATTACGTAAGACGATGTAACATTTTTTCTCCAGTGAAAGTCGCAGTCTGCATTTCATAAGTGTTACATTTACAAACACTGAATTGGATTTGCGTAGCAGGGTATTTGTCAGCAGGGGGCGGTATTAGATAACCATTAAGCCAACACGCACAGAGACCTTTACAGGCTCTGGGTAATTCCTGGTAAATGCCATGGTTGTATATACATAATATTAGTTCAGCTTTAAATCTAACTATGTGTACATTTTGCGTCTTTTGAATTCATATTAAATGAATGTTTTTTTTTTTACTGTCCGGTCCAACAGTATATTATTGTTTATGTTATCTTGTGTTGTCTTTTAGAAACTCCCTAAAACACCATCTGGAGAATATGATTTGGAAAGAAAAGAGCACATAAGGCATATCATTAACCGACGTTACAGGATGTATTTTCATTTAACTGTGATCTAATATTTTATGTGTACATCATGTTGTGAAATTAAATTGCATCTATGGGTAATTTTGAAGTACAGCCATTTGCCATTTAGTTGTTTAACCCTGCGACTCCTTGCAAACATGATTGGTGGTCATTTAACTTGATGAGAGATGAGAAAGAGAAGGACACGTGTCTAGCCTGAGGCATGAGCCTGCTAAATGGCTGACTGTCCACCTGGGGCCCGACAAAGAAAACTGTGGCATGTTTTTGCGCTCTTTTTATATCACCACGAAAAAACCCCTCTGCAATCAACGTTGTTGATTTCAATTTATTTTAAACAATTTGTGTAGATGCTGCACCGTAGCCTACTATATTCCTATTGAAGTTATACAAGTTATATCCTTTTCCTAGCCTCTTTAGCATTGTTTATGGGGTAATATACAGTGGTTATTGTTGATAGTGGTTATCTTTTATCGTTTATATGTTTTACTAAGCAATCAGCAGGGAGCAGTTGAAGGAAGGCCAAAATAGCAGTAATGCTATATATGGACTTTTTTGCACTGAAAATGCACAGTGTAACAACAGTCTACTCCCATTTACCTCTATAAGACTGTTTATTAATTTAAATTAAAAACATGGAAATTCAAAAAAATGGTGCAAAGCATAAGCACGTGTTTTATTATTTTTTTTGCGGCTGGTTGCTTGAAACCAAACCTTGTTGGATTCAGAATTTGTGTTTATTACGAGGAGCACGTGAAAGCAGCATTAGTAGTGACGCAACGCATGGGCGTGTTGTCATGGCTGTGCGCTCTGAAACCTTTCAATATAGTAAATACTTATTAGTCCTAAAACAAGCCATGGCAACGTCGGTGGTGTACAGCGACATGGAATTATATTTTACCACAAAGTAAACATTCTTGACAACGGCACGGTAAGTAGCTACACCATGAAATAAGTTGTTTTTATACCAATAAAGGATGGCCAAACATGAGTTAGCTAGCAAGCGTCATCGTTAGACAAGCTAGTATTACGCACATTACCCACCATCCTCTCTTATTATAAAGCCACACAGAATTCATTTAATAATTTTGCCAACTAATAGTCGTTACATGTTATAGCATATTGTTGGCTAATGTGAAATTTACATGTGATCCACCCATCAGCGCCCCACTTCAAAAGATGAAACGTGTCCAGTTAATTTGCCTGTCAAAGATAACGTTATTCCTAAATCAAAATAGCGGAAACTGTTATGGTGGACGATAGGAAGCAGTTCCAGCTAATTCTTAACTTTCGCTAACGTTACAAATTTTAGAAACTGACACTTGAGCTATAATAAGAAAGGCTGGTGGTTAAGTTATATGTTTGCAGATTAAACCAACGACTTTAGTCTAACAATTCGTTTAAAAAAGGGCTGTCCTTTTTTAAGTACCATTTAATTTAGTAACCAAAGTAATTAAATTGATGAATTATGAACGACGTTTGGTGGGATGTGGTCTCCTCATAACGGAACGGGCAGGATCGGGGCTAGACTAGCTTGTAAGCTATCTTCGGCTAGCTGATTAGTGGGGTGCCGTGCTTGTTTTGCTCTACCTGTCCGCACTGGTCAAGTTGTCAGTCTCTGCTTTACATTGTGTTGGATGGGAAGATCAGTGGTCTTCGCCTGACTTCTCAAAAATACATACGAATGGGTGAATAAGGAGCACACTTAAACCATATTCATCAATGATAGGAGCGCTGTTACAGAAAGAATTGCCCGCAGTTGGTAACATGCTGAACTGACATGTGTTAGCACTATGACATTATGCGAACCCTTTGCAGTTGTCAGCCCTGTTGCAGCTGTCACACACTGGAGCTGCAACTGGACAGTTGCTCTCAGCCACACCCACTTGGGAGCAACGATTCAGTCATCTGCTGTTTCTTTGTCTTGTCCCTTCTCGGCTCCACAAATCTAAATCACAATAATCGAGCATAAAATGCTTGCTGGCTTGCTTCACAGAAATGACTAGTGGTTCAGAGAAACCGAGGAGATCAGTTGGTTGCAATTGAGAAGAAATGGGGAAAATATTGTGTGGCAATTCTCAAGGTAAGAGTTTTAAATTGTTGGAATAACTTTTAGAAAGGGTTTACCACTGTGTTCATGTCTCTGCTGGTAGTTTAAAGGCAGCCTTTACAAAACTAACCTTTAGTAGAATAGGGCCTATTTTTGTCTGTTTTTGTAGTTTAGTGCTTGGTCTCCGAATAGACCTTTTCCTATAAATTCTTGGTACGCATTTGTCTGTAAACATGTTTCTTTTTGGCACTTTAACACTTAAAGGCATATACCTTTTAAATAATTTCTCCATGCCATGTATAGGGCAAATTTATATTATATATTCTCAGTTTACCACAATTAATATTCTACACCATAACTATAGGTGAACGTTAATAAGCTACCTTATGGATTGTAGCAATTCCTCTTGAGGTAGAAAAGCCTCTGAAACTGATCATCAACCTAAAGCACTTGTATAAAACAAAATGAGATGTTTTAGAATCAGTCCAGATTAACGTCTTAGTAGGCAACCACTGACAATAAACAGTTAAATAAAAGTCCCTCTTTTCTGCTGGATGATACTGATGGGCCAGTGTTCTGTTGTTACATTTGGCAATTCAATTCAATTCAATTCAATTCCTGCTTGCTACTAGCACAACCAATCAAACAATCAAAAAAATGCTGACGGTTTTGTTTTATGTCAAGGTGTCTGTCCTGTTAACATCTTTTGGTTGTATTATGCCAGACAATAGAGACAAAGTTGGGAATTAATAAGCAGGATTCCTGTATTCCAATACTAGATTGACAGTATTTGTAGAACAATGTGATGTGAAGTAGCCTACATTGATTTATTAGGTGTAATTCTGCCAAAAATACTCCCATCCTGTAATTTTGGTTCAATCAGTTACCCTATTTGATTACCAAAAAGGCACCATATAACAATATATATCTATGTCACAATATACAAAAAAAATTTACCTCAGAGTCATCCAGTTTGATATGGACTGAATAAATGTTGATCTGTGTGAGAATATCTGGTGCTCATGGCAGCAGTTTGTCAGAGGATGGGATCCAGTAAGAAAACCTATAATTTGAAGCAGCAGGTCCAGGTTAGGTGGCATATATTTTTATTATTATTCTGTTTCCTTAAATTCTGTACACTGTTGGACAATTTTTATATACTGTACAAGTGAAAGGGTGACATGACGTGGTGATGATGGTCAGGTCTACACAATGCATGGTGATAAAGGATGGCTTTCTTAAGTAGTCCAGGCCAGAATACAAAGTAATGGAATAGTGCTTTGTATTGGACTTGGATTTTGAAGTCCTAAACGTTTCCGCTAGTCTTTTGTACTATCCTAGAAGTTCCAAACAATGCTTGGTTACTGTATTATTGCTTGATCAAACACACCACACAGATATATCTCAGCATCTTAGCTTTGTGTTATTCCCAGGCTGCAACAAGCCCAAATATCAGCAGTCCCCTCAGTCTGATGAATGCCATGGTCATGTGTGTCACTGTCTGTTGGAAGCTGTGTGAATGAATGCTTCCTTTTTATGTGATCCTAGACCAACAAGTCTGTTACATGGACAACAGCAGCTTTGTTTACAAGATGGGGAAGTGGTGTAATAAACCTTATTATAAGCCTGTGTCTAAACCACTTCCTAGGCGCCCATTCATTCATCGGCTGTCCATGTCCTGGCAATACCAGCTGTACATTCATGTGTGTGTGCCAGCATCAACAGAATGCCATTTTGGCAGGTCTCTGGAACCATAGTGTTGATGTCTCCTGCAGCTCTGGTCACATTAAGAGTATTGTTGAAGGCTAAGGAAGCATTGGGAAACCTACACACACAATCTCCCTCTTCCCTTTTTTCTGTGTAAGCCCGGAGGAGACTCTAGACTGGTATTGCTCACCAGCAGCGGTTGCACTGCTGGTGACTGAAAATAAGCATGATGTCAGGTGCCCATTCATCAAAATCTCACCCAACCCCACCCCTTTTCTTTTCCCTGAGCCCCCCGCCCAGAACCTCCCACCAAAACCTATTGCCCCTCCCCCTCCCCTCTGTCCTCTGCTTGTCTGTTCATTGGCAGTAGAGCGAATGGTGGCCCCTCGGGCTAATGAAAATAGGGCTGGGAATCCTTGAGCTTGATGCCCATGTGTTCGTACATATTGTCAGTAAACACAGTGTGTCGACTGCACACGCGTGTTACTGGCACTCACGTCCCCGGTGATGGGATATAGCATCAGAGGAGTCCTATGCGGAGCAAAGCTTATTGGCCTGTTTTTATGCGAGAGCAAGGGAACGTCGACCTGAATGCAGCGCTCGTCGCACCGCCGCTGTCCCTGGCCATCCTCCTCCCTCTCCTCCTCCACCACGGTGATAATCCTTGCTGACACAACGCACAAAGGACTAAATGCTGGCAACATCCTCTAACAGCAGGGCTCTCTCCTCTTCCTCCTCCAACTCTGATCCTCTACAGCCAGGCCGTTCACCTGTACAGCAGGATGCTGTTTCTGTAAGACTGTTTGCAACTGGATATCACATCTCTGGAATACTGGCCTGGCTGCCCTCCTCCTCCTCCATCCACTGTATTCCCTCCTCCTCACCCGGTTCATTCAGGGAGCGCATAAGCACAGGGCTTCAGCCCTGAGGAGGCGTTTTTTTATCTCCCTGGATGCTGGTAGGACCACTGGATTTTTCTCACTGTCTGATGCATTCATGTAGCACGGGGTAGGAGCTACTTCCTCTCCTTCCCTGTTTTTGTCGGTCTCTCTATCCATCCTACAGCACATCACTCTACCAACAGGTAATCCGGCTAAACAGCACATGCTTTATTTATCAAGTGATGCAAAATTTGATGTTTCAGTCATGTCTAATTGGGTAATGCTAGCTCGTCTTGTAAGAGTGAAATCCATTCGATGATGCTGTTAATATTTTAAGATAGAGCAGTATATATTCTTTTTATGCAGTTTTATTCGTTTGAAAATGAGATTGGCATTTCAGAAATAAGATTAGCCATACAGCGTCCTTCATCTTTAAAGGAAATATGGCTGCTTCTATTTTTATCAGACTGTCATAGTGGACAGATTTGCTGATTTCACTATTCACTTCCCAAAAAAGGAAGTATGATAATATGCAAAGACAACATGCATGCAGCCGGTATGCGTCCATGGCCATGCTGCTACAGTTTGTTCACATGTCATTGCAGTTTGTAGTAGGGCTGGACTATATGGCCAAAAATGTTATCACGATAAAAAGTTTCATATCTTGCGATCAAGTATCAAATCTTTATTTCTTTTGAGTTTGAAGGTGGTTTAAACTTGTCTTTACGGTCAACATTTGATGCCAAACAGTTGATCACTTCACAAATCTTAGTTAGAACATTCAACAATTATGATAAAATATTTTTCAACACATTTGCATGAGCAAAATTAAGTAAAAGCTTTTTTTCAGTCCTTTTTCCTCAACAAAATAACCATCTTAATATGATAGTATGATTCAAGTGAATAAAATCAAACATTTATTGAATATTTATTAAAAATGTGTTATATTGTTATTGAAAAAAAATTATATTACGATAATTATAGTTATTGTTTTATTGTCCAGCCCTAGTTTGTAGTAAAGCTAGCGATCGCTGTTTGGAACAGACAGGTAACGATCAAACACTGCATCACAATAATCTTACAAATATGGTGATGTCAAAGTTGTGCCAGTAGTTTTGGGTTAGTTAGATTCTTGACAGCGGGTAGCCTAATCACAGCATGTTTAGTGCCCGGGTTAAACGTTAGAAGTGACTATTACAACGTTAGATACTTGGTACTTGTCATATCACATTGTACTATCATATGGACAATGGCTATGGTGCTGCAAAAGATTTTAATCCTATAGTATAAGTAGGATCTTTGTGTTGCTGAGAAGACTGTATTGACTTGATTTGTCAAGCACTGAATGAAGTGATTCTATCTAGATAGCTTAAATAATTTGCATGTTGTGTGTGCAACATGTGACTCAATATTGACTTTTGATATGACGTTTGACTTGAGGTCTAAGCCGTGCGGTTTGGATTTGCACTTCTGTAAATCTCGCCCATCTCACAAAGGACTAGCATTAGCAAACACAATAAATTATCAAAGCTTCCTCACACTACTGATCATGTGACAAGACAGTGCCCCATTATTATACAGAGTAATGTATTTACCTGACACAAATTCCTTTTAGTAGGATCATCACCACTCTTAATGTAAGTTCTTTACTTACCTTACTCTGCCAGTATGTTTGTTTTTGCATGTTTTTGTTCTTTGTTCTAGATAAGGCCTGTCCAGTCCTTGAGCAACATCTGAGCAACATCTGTCAGACAAAAAAAAAACCCTCAACCAAGCAGAGGAGAAAAGAACTTCATGTTCCAAAATGAAGAGCAAAGTTCACAGCAAACCAAATAATAAGTGTGTGCCAGAAAGGGTTCACTCCCCTGTTTGTTGGAGGACTGCCTCATAATTTCTCAGGATTTCAAATGGTCCTTCTTTTTGACCTGGGATAATAGCGGTGCAAGGCTTGTGGTGTCACATCGCAGTGGAGTCACACAGCTGCTAACATGTTTAAAAGTGGGCTGAAGATCATGGGGAGTGAGTATGATAATTATTCACAATAATGCGATATGAGAACCTCATCAAACGTACAGGTTCTTGGTGAGCGTGGTTTGGTGTGCCAAGCTTTTTGTAAAAGGCTCCTGGGATGAAGTTTGCGAATGGGAAGAATTCTTCCGATATCAAGCAGTTTTTTAAATTTTATTCTTTGTAAGGATGCTTTTCGGCAAAGCTTACAAGCTTACTTTGAAGAATTCAGTGTAGTATATTTTGGATTTGTTTCAGTAGTTGCATGTCTATTTAAATATATTTGATCATTATAAATTATTTTCCACAGTACAGAGAGCTTTGAGTGAGATTTGAGAAAAGGAAGGTATGCTGTGCAGAAGCCTAAAATGGAAAATGGAGTCTTATTTTAGGCCTGTCGCCCACTCTGAAGAAATCTTTGTAAATGTGTTATTTACTCAGGGTCCTTATTGATTTTCCTGGAAGTCCTCTGGCCACCAGATGTTTCTGACATGAACCAGTTCCAGCAGGTTTTTACTCATTTCTGATATTAAGGCTGATGAGGCTTCAGACATAGAGCGTGTGTGAAGACTGCATTTTGCTAAGTATTTAGGTTCAGTGATGTGAAAAAAAATGCACAGGCACACAGCCTTTGCTCATTAGACGTGAGGATATAAGCCAGTCAGACATACAGCCCAAGTAGGCCTTTGCTGCTTCACACAGTGGCACGTAGCAATAAAAATAATACTCCTGACTCATTTTCTATTTTGAATCAATCAATCAATGTGCGCATCTAGGTCTGTTGTGCATGTATGTTGGGTTAAGACAGTGAGAAAACAAAATTCTTTATAGGAGTTTTCTCTCCTGTGTTTATGATTTAAGAACAGCTGGGAATAAATGTTATGCCAATGTACAAGTTCCTTAAATGTCTTTTTCTTCTGTGAAACAGGTGGGGGGGGGGGAATTTTGCCAGGTGAAAAAAGTACATACAGTAGATTGTGTCTTAGCAACTAGCATTACTGTCATGTCTTTCTTTTGGTTAGAAATGTATTTTAATCTGAGTTTCACCTGGCATAAAACATCATATGTTTAGTCCGATTTAGAACACGGGGTGGTGATGCACTTCAGTCCCTTGTAGTATTACAACAATAAACAAACAAACAATTAATTTTCATCAATTTTCACACACCTGTTTCACAGACAAAAAAACAAACAAACAAGTAACTTAGAGTAATGATTCTGGCAAAAATTTATTTTTCACCTGGCAAGAATTTTTTTTCTCAATTGCTTCTCAGGGCTTCCATATCTCACAGACCTAGTGTCTCACTTCAGCTGGCTTCTGTGGAGATTCTGATCACGTGGGACCTGTGGGATCCCAATCCAATTGCACACTTAATTTGACAGTGTCTACCAGTGCTACCTACATTACATTGTGTGCCCCTTGGTCACATTTTAGAGGAAATGTGTTTATGGTCTTATCGTCACATAGATGGATTGCTTTAGAGAGCAGGTGGTACATTTCCACAGTTAAAAATGGACCTTGACATCTCACACTGTATGTCAGTACAGTGTGAGATGCGTGTGAGATCCGTACTGAAAAATTCACATTTACTGCTTTGCTTATTTAATTTGTTACATTTTTTACATTGTTATTTTATATTCTACCTCTGCAGTTTGATTGATGTTCATTGTTCATTTGCTGTTAGTTCAAAATTGTACAATACAGTAGGCCTACATTCATTTTTTAATACTAACAATGACAATTTCATCTTCTTTACAGATAATAGTTTGATTTTGAGATACATTTTTTAATAATTTCCACCAGATTTGTTTACAAAACAACAATAATTCTAAATTGAACATTAAAAAGCAAACAGCAGAACAGCTGCTTAGTTTTTCCGGCTGCCCCTGCCTTGGATCACAATAGGCTATTACAAACATATCGCTCCACAATTGCTTTGACACAATACCGGTTGTACACAGGATCGTAATATGGATTGCGATTTGCGTTAGATGGTGAAATAGGCTGTGTTCGAAACTGGCTAAACTGCTGTCTCAGAAGGTGTCTAACAGGACAGTGAAGCATTGAGTGCTGTTCCAAACAGCTCGAACGATCTCTTCCTGTCTCGTAAGATGTCTTCAAACTGCCCCTATAACGGCTGGTTTTTATCTATGTCCCATAAACCAGCGTGGTTGCGGCTGCTCCAGGTTATGAAAAATAGTCAAGATGGTGGACAAACAAGCCAAATTCGTATACAAATATAAGATTTTAAAAGTTTTCAGTAGTTTTCTTGGTTTCTAAGTTAGTGAGAACTAAACACTGAACTATCATATTAGCCCGTGAAAGTAAACGACCAAGTCTGTTAAGTATGATTTCTGAGGGGTCTGTTAGCCATTTACTTTTTCAGTAGCTAGTTAGCTGTTAACAGAGATGCCTTCACTCGAAAGTGATGCCTTCTGAGGCAGCTGTCGAACACAGCCATAATGTGGAAAGCCATTAGGGATGCACCGAATGTTCGACCAAAGAAGTGGAATAGTGGCTGTTACAAGCAACAGAAAAAACAGATGTGTGGTTCATTTCTAAGTGATGGATGACAGGATGTTGACAAATAGGCAGTAAAAAAGTAATTTATTGACAAGTGACTTCATTAAAAAAAAACTACATATAGTACCTTTAAAATGCATAAAAGGTATGCAAATATTTATTTTATATTATTTATTTAACTGTATACATTGAATTGTTCTTTTGTATTTTCCTTGAAGCTTTAGCAATACTGTTCTGTTAACATTCATGCCAATCAAGCAAATATGAATTGAAAAAGCTTTTAAGTTGGACTTTCAGTAGGATAATACCAACTTAATGGAAATTACATATCCCTGAGCAATGTTTTGAGTATGTTATGTGCATTTGTTTATGGTTGTGTGTTTATTTGTGAAGTGGCCAAACGCCTGTCTGGTTGTTTGTGTGAAGGAGCTTGACGTTGCCCTCCCAGATTGGCCCTCAGCAGTGTGTATAACAGAAGCCAGCCCATCTGTTATTGCAGGCAGAGAGAATCCTGCCTGTTTTAGCCCCTAGTCAATCTATAAACTATGATTTATCTTTATGATTTGAACTTCCTGCAAAGCTATCTGACCATCTCCATGTTAAGCTTCTTATGAGTCAAATAATTCATATTATTAGATTATTAGACATTAGATTATATTTGGTTTTGAATTGTTTTGAAAATCTGTTAAGACAAAGTGTGACTATTATCTGGATATACTGTATCTCTTTGAGATTTGTTTGTTTTTATTCATAAATAACTATACAAACTATTTTTTAAGTCACATTATTGGTAATAGTAGCAGTTGTTGTTGTCTTCATTATCCTAGGTAGTTGGTTATTGCAGATTTTCGAGATTTTAGGTTCAGCATTTCATGCGCAACAATCAGAACAAATTTCATCATCAAGTTCATTGGCACAGTCCTAGAATTTGCCTGCTGTCTGCTGCAGATAACATTACACACAAGAACACAAGATATGGAAATGCATAAGTAAATATAGCTGGAGTGTACGTTATTCAGACCAGAAATGTGGCTGTTTTTTGTCAATCTAGAGCACACAGAATGGTTTTCACATCTGCTAGTTTTATGTTTTTGTTCCTACAACTGTGCTTCTAAAACTTTGTCAACACTCATCTTGAAAGTTTTCTGAAAGGTTTTGCATGGTACATCTTGTGCGTTCTTTCTTGAGTTGTGAGTTTCAAAGCTAGTGAGGCTGCTTGACTTATACATTGCCGGCCTAAAATTTCAACAAGAGGTAATTGCTTTGTTGGTATGTAGGAATTGTTCAGAGATGCAATTTTGGGAGTCACTCTTTCTTTCCTTCAATATGTTGAATAAGAGCTTTTTGTGTAGGTAGAGTCATCCAATCCGCCATGTTGTGTCAGAACCAATCCTGGTCTATTTAATAATAATAAAATATCATTGTGCTTGGCCTGAATTCTTCAGCAGAGTGGGTGGCATGGGAGATAGTGGGTATGTGGGTTGAAGAGCAGTTTTAAATATAGGTGGTAGGTTAGGCATGCATTTATTCGGTCTGTGTCTGCAAAACAGTTCCTCAACCCAGAATGCTATATTGTGGGCCTGCTTTACTTCAACATTTGATGTAAGGCTTGGACAAAATTATTGAACAAAATATTCTTCTTAGGTTTATGTGTGGAGTGTTTTAGGTCAAATTCATCATGATTGGATTCTCAGTTATTGGTACATTAACTTGACTTTTTCTATATCCATCCACACCCAGAATACTGGATAAAGTCCGCCCACTGCCTGTGACAGCTCCTCTGTTTGCAGGCTGAAATGTTAGATGATTGCCTGGGATATTATTTCACTGCATTAAAGAGGATAAGCTGTCATTTTGGACAGAAAATAGAGTATAAGCAGCCTGCTTTCCCTCCTTTGATCCCCTACATCCCATATGTTTTCATGCTTAAGCAGATGCCTTTAATACCAAAATGACATTGTAATCTTGATAAGCGTGCAAGTGTAATCTCTGCCACATTACAGACATCTGTCCACCCTATTACTGAAAGATTTTTAGACTAAACCCTGTGACTGAACTATATACTAAAAAACATATTGCGTGAAAATGACCAGATAAATAGGGCATTTGGTGAGCTCAAGGCGATATTCACACAATTGTGGATAGACTTTAAAGCAACATTTACATGTTGAAAGTTTCCCGTCTACATCAGCATAAAGATAATTGACTAACTTTTTGCTGTCCACAGAAAAAGCTTAAGTCTCTTCATCGTCCTTCTAGTTTAGATTAATGGTTGTTGTAAACATGGAAATGATGAATAATTACCACCATCTGCTAAGGAATGGTGGCACGTGATTTCACGGTAACCTCTGTTCTGTGACTTAAGTAATTATAGACATAGTATTATTTTGTGTTACAATATGGCCAATGAAATAATGCAGGTGCTGTTATTTTTTTTTACCAATTTGCTTCTGTTGTTCTATGTATTGAAATACTTACAGTGATTTAATTGAGGGTCATTCCTAGGGTGTTAGTTTCTTAATATTGCTGGAAAGTGGACTTTTGTTGGCATGTTTGTTGAAGGTCAGTCATATAACAGTCATACATCAGCATTCTCTAAAATATTCTTCCTCTACACTACAATATGTGAGTCCTCTTAGGTAGTGCTATTTATATGGGGTGTTAATACAACAGGACCTGTGAGTGTGAGCCTGTCTTTACAGTGAAAAGGGCAAGTGTAGTACAACACGTTTATCATTGTTTATCTTCCCCATATGGTATATGTCAGATTTCTGTTGTTATGGTTATATTGTTGGTAGTACATATGGACAGTTAAATACGCCATCCTTCAGTTTTACAAGCCTGCAGTTTTTCTTTCTTTTCTTTTCTTCCTGTGAATAATGGTGGAGATAGAACACTGCACAGGTGTATAAAATAATATTTCTGATGTGTCACGTCATGTGATTAATAGATACATTGGTCTGGTGATAGTCACGCTTCTCAGCAAGTTCCTTTCCAAATTGCTGACTCAAGTTGTTGTATAAATACTGCTTCTTTCCTGTTTCTAGCATTCATTCAAGACACTGTCATCAGACAAGAATGATCGTGTGTGACATCATACACCAGCAAATGTGTTGATGGTGATCACCAAGACAATAAAGATCATTCCCCAACCAGAAAGACTGGATGTATAGAGAGGTGAGGGCTCAATCCAAAGCCAAAAAAGCTGCCTATCGGTCAGGTGACATACAGCACTGCCAGAGTGAGGCAATCAACAGCATCACAGGCTACAAAAGCAGGAGCTCCCCCATCATGTGTGAGGCCACATTACCAGATGAGCTTAAGACATTTTATGCTTTCATCTCTTCGACAGAGAGTCAGCTCTGAAGTTTACTCCACCTCCAGAGGACCGGCCACTGTCAGTATCCACAGCAGATGTGAGAAGAGTTCTGCTGAGAGTGAATATGAGTAAAGCTGCTGGGCCTGATAACATCCCTGGCCATGTACTAAAAACATGTGCCAATCAGCTAGTTGATGTTATTGCTGACATATTTACCACATCACTATCACACGAGAGTGCTCCTACCTACTTTAAGACACCATCGGCCAGTACCTAAAAAAGTGTCCTGTAAATGAATGAGTACCGCCCTATTCTGGTCAAGTACTGAGAAACATGTTCTCCAGAAATTAAAGAGCAACAACCCAGTCAGCCTGGACCCTCACCAGTTTGCTTTCAGTACCAACAGATCCACAGAGGATGCCATCTCCACTGTTCTCCACTCAGCCCTCACACATCTTGAGAAAAACAACACCTACATCAGTATGCTGTTTGTGGATTTCAGCTCAGCGTTCAACACAATCTCCCCCATGAAGCTGACCAGCAAACGTTGCGCTCTGGGCTTAACTACCACGCTCTGCAAATGGATTTTGGACTTCCTCATAAATAGACCCCAGACAGTTTGGATTGGCCATCACACCTCCTCCACTCTATTGCTCAGCACTAGAGTCCCCTAGAGCTGTGTGCTCAGCCCCCTCCTGTTCACACTGTACACCCACAACTGCATCCACGGAGAGAACTCTGTTGTGAAGTCTGTGGACGACCCCACCATAATCGGCCGGATTTCAAACAATGATGAGATTTCATATCATATATGGTCATCACACATCTCCACGCTGGTAAAGAAAGCTGGTAAAGAAAGCTCAGAAACTGTATACGAAAATTTCCCGTGCCAAGTACTTGGTAACTTTTACAAAGGAGAAATACAAAGCATCCTGAGTGGAAACATCACAAATCGGGGTGTGGGGATGTGTACAGCCCAGGACACTAGGGCTCTGCAGCAGGCGATTGAAACCGCTCAAAATACCACTGGTACCCATCTGTTGAGCATCAGTGATATCAGTGAGGTGCCTATGCAACACCTAAAAGACACTAAAAGTAAGACCCCACCCATATCCAAATCCTGTTTGGCAAGAGATCCAGAAGTATCGTACCACCAGATTTCAGAGTGGCTTCTTCCCTCAGGCTGATGCATCCTCAGCACTCCACCTAGCTTTATTTCTATGATTTATTACTTATTCACCCATGTACTGTAAAAGACTTTTGAATATGTTTGTTTTTTTGTGAATAGCATAAAGGGAACTATAACCTGTTGTAAAGTGATAAATAAATCTGTCTTGTACCTCGTACCTTGAGTTTTTGTATGTCTGTCCACATGACAAGATTTTAACTGTTTTATGTCTTCTAGGATTTCAATTCTAGGTTTTAGGATTAATATATATTAGGAATTATAAGGAGTTTCAAGCATGTCCATACAAATAGATACCTGAGATGTGTACAGTACTACATGAGCACCTTTTGCTTTTTCATTTTGTTTTACAGTTGGTAAATAGCCACCACTTTTAGATGTTTGCTTCTCAATGAAGAATGGGAGTTAAAACGTTTTGTCCATGAATTCCAGATTTATGTAAAAATAGGTTTGTTTTGTGTGCTTTAGGATGTAGGATACTCAGCTTACATTTTTACAACTTGCATCTCATGGTCGCTAGTTTTAGGTTAAGTAGTTGAGTTTTGTGGTTGACATGAATGAAGCCAAAGTATTGTCCTGTCAAGGATGTAAGAACAAGATTGTGTCAGGTCAGGACTTGTTTAGTGCAGCAGGGTTCAGTAGTTGTGTCCAGCTGCTCTCTTCAGAAGTGTGCCATGAGACACAACAAGACCTCCAGTGAATGGTCCCTCAGCAAAGAGAAAAACACTGCTGTGAAATTAAAATCTCCTTGTTTAAAATCAATGGTATGAACCCAAAATCTTCTGAAGCCAGTGTAAAGATTTGACATGAACTATAGACAAGTTAGTAAATATCAACTATTTGTTGTGTTTAGTATTGAAATTGTAAAAGAAGTACCAAAGTTTCATTGAACTTCTTCTCTCTTACCTCCAGTGACCCCTGATCTGTTCCCGGAAACACCCCTGGTCCCGTCCCTGCCCGCAATATCGTCTGCACGAGCCAGCTCCGTCCCTCAGAAGCCTCGGAGGCACAGCAGCGGCGGAAGTGACAACGCTGTCAGGCCCCGGCCGTTGCGCTTAGCCCCCAGGCCAGGCCCCAGCCGAGGCAGCATGGAAGTGGGCATGCGCGTGGTGCGTGGCCTGGACTGGAAATGGGGAAACCAGGATGACGGTGAGGGCCACGTGGGCACTGTGGTGGAGATCGGTCGGCAGGGCAGCACTACCACACCAGACAAGACAGTGGTGGTGCAGTGGGACAGCGGCACACGAACCAACTACCGCACTGGCTACCAGGGTGCCTATGACCTACTGCTTTATGATAATGCTCAAATTGGTAAGCACTCATGACGGGGGTAATCCTAAAACACTGGGTCAACAACAACGTAGAAGAAGTTCTCATTGGAATTCTTCCAATATTAGTGCCAGTATGAGTTTCAGTATGATTCCAAAATGATACTTTTTTGATACGTTAGGCCTACATTAAATAATGTTGTTCTACAAAACCTCTTTGGAGTATAACACAATAAGATACATTTCTCAAATGCATTGTTGATCAAGAACTTTTTCTAAGTAATGAAAGTATAAAACTGGCTAAATTATTTCTCAGATCTGGAAATATCAAATCTCAGAATAAGTAAAAAAGACCAAACTTTGACCAAGCATTCAATGCAATAGTTTGATACTTCTCAGTTGTTTATAATTGGTGTGGTCAAGACACATTTTGATTGTTACCCACAAAGTATTTAAGTTTAATACCTAGCTTTTGATACCCAATACAGGTGTTTTTTGATATATTTTTAATTAAAAAAGCAAGAATGCCATATCCACATTTAAATGCCCACACTTGCTGCTGGGTCATGAGAATTTTGGACATGTGGTCTTGTCTTAATCTGATCAGACACCATCATCCTTCATTTCTGTGGAGTTTTACAGCACCATGGTCAAATTTAGAAGTTCATTTGCAGAAGAAAATATCAGCTTTAAAGACACTCTTTTAATGAAGTGTAAACAAACACGGTTTCCACATGTTTATCTTGCGTATTTGCGCCTGTTTGTCATTGTGGTGGCTTGCGCAGCCTCTCCAAAGCCCATTTTGAGTAAGCATGGTACAGTAAAGACCATCTCTCATCGTCAGCCATCCAGCTCTATTTTGGACTTGAATGACACACACAGAAATGCAGGACTCATTAGCATTTTACCCCATTTAAAGCGACATTTTTCTGCCTCAGAAGCTTGCCCTTCAATTAATGGAGCGAAAGAAGATGAGGAGCTAACGGGGTGGGGGTATTTTTGTCATGCTGTTTGTGCCTCAGTTCTTCCACATCTCATGATATTATCCATTGTGATAAATAACATGCCTTGAATGCTTCAGTGCATATGGGAGATGCATAATAGTAGAGTACTTTTGTCTTACTCTACAGAACATGACAAGTTCCTCAGCTTTTTTTTCTTTGCAACAAAATGGAATAGAAATAGAAACCTCAGACATGTTGAATTTATAACCCCACTCACTTTTCTTCCACTACCTCTCCTTCCCTTCCAGGCGTGCGCCACTCCAACATTATCTGTGACAGCTGCAAGAAGCATGGCATCATGGGAATGCGATGGAAGTGCAAGGTGTGCTTCGACTATGACCTGTGCACCCAGTGTTACATGAACAACAAGCATGACCTGAGCCATGCTTTTGAGCGTTATGAGACAGCACACTCCCAGCCGTGAGTACTGCACTGCCGCTGCCCCAGCACAATTGATCCTCATTTACATTCTAATTATGGTGTCGTTCCTTCAATGTCTGTGTTCGAGGTGCTTGCTCTGTTTATATCCAGTTCGACTCATAGGCGGTAAGACCTTATTAGTATTGTTTCCTCCAATTAACTTTCATTAGCCTGTTGTCTGTCTACACCGGCCCACTGGTCTAGGAAGGAGGGCTTTTAAAGCATTAACATCAGGGTTCATTCAGGGCTTTTGTCCATATCTGCTTGCTTTGCGAAGTTTCCCCTTGAACCCTCTTCTCAGTTACCTCACTTACTTTTGAAATTAATGACTAGTCAAGTCAGTGCTCCCTCCAGTATCCGCTCTTCTGCATCATTTCACAATAAAGCTCCAACTGCTTCAGGCACTTTCTTAATGTCAACTGGATGGCCTGTTCTCATTTTAACATTGTGATATGTATGACCCAGATTTTTTCTATGGTTTAGCCTGGTCCTGGTATTTTCCTGTGCCTGCTGTACAATGAATGGTACAATGAGTGGACTTGTTACTCTTTAGCTTAAATCCTGATGTTAACTATTCGGTTCAAGAGTTACTATTTTTTTCCAGGAGTTTGGAAACAACGATTCGATCGGAATGAGACAAAAGTGTATATTCGTTCAACACCCAATGGGTAGGATTTGGACATTTCTGACTTAGGTGACACTTTCACAAACAGCAAAACAATGCCATTGTAGTCAATGCTTGCTCACACCTGAAGCGCAGCAGCGCATCCCAGAATATGGTTCGCCGCTCCGCTGTGCGAAGAATAGGCAGCCGGTCTATTTTTGACGGAAAACGCATCAAGCAGCACCGAGCAGATGAGCCGGACAGGAAGTCAGACACAGAAACGGCAAAGAGAATCCGGTTGATTTTCAAAATAAAATACCTTGTACAGACTCCCGATCGTATATCAACAATAAACACAGTTAAAACAGACCAAAAAAGAAACAATATGTGGCCTTCTTAACCACGGTAGAAGCACAAAAATCAAGGACAACTTACCAAATAAACTAAATCTAAACAATTCAGCAAAATCAGGCTGGCAAAACGTTCGTATTCTGAAATGCTCCATGTGGGGAATTCAGCCCTGCAAGGAACTGGGGGAAAACGGTTCACAGAGCGCTGTGATCGGTTGTAGAAGCACACAAAATAACAAATAAACAACAAGTCAACAACGTGGGGCAGGCTAAACGCTCCGCTGCTGAAACTTCCTGTGTGAGTTGACAACGGGCTGAGAATGGGTCAAACCGTGGCGCAGCCGTAACGCGGCGCACATGCCGCCTGTGTGAATCCGGGGTTACACCCCTAGCTTCAGATCTTGACGTGATGATGACATGAATCAAGTGTAGTTGCCATCTCTCTGCTGTTTTCACTTCCTGGTATCATCTGTGATCACATTCTCAATAAATGGTGTTTGATCTTTGTTGACAATAGTTAGACAAGATACTGTATCATATAGCAACCTTTGTGGATAAATGTGCCAAATAGTGCTACATTGGGTATCTACATCTTTAAGAGTTATTTAAAGGTTGTTTGTAATCCTAAGCAACTGTGGTACATAACATCTGAGTGAGGCAAAGCTAAACTTGGAAAGCTAAAAATAAGTCAAAAGACATTCTCTTAAGTAGTATGTTAATACCATAGCCAGGAGTGTTTTAAAGACTCGGTCCTACTGTAAGAATGTGCTGTTGGTTGGTAGTACTGTAGGAACCTTTTTATATTTAAGTGCGCGACATTGGTCACATCACAAACACAACTGTGGATCAGAGTGTTGATCAAATTGCAGTTACACAGCACATTTCATGTTTTTTTGGTAAGCACAAGCATAATTGAAAGTAATTTAAACCCTATGATTGTGTCATATCTATCAGTAATCTGTATAAAACTCACAGCTCACAAGAGTGCGTTTTGTCACTACGTTAATTACGTACAAAAACAAGCAGAAGTAGTGGTAGTAGTAGTTGTCTGGTTTATTAGAAGTACGAAGAGAAGTGAAATTTGGACAAATATAGGACCACACGTATTATTCAGCACAAGAGCAAACAGAGCATGTTGACCTCTGTAGTTTCTCCCCCGTGCTTGCAAAGGGAGGGGTGAGCGATGGCTGATGGTGCATTCATGTGGTGTCGGATTATTTGTTTTTTTTTCTTCCTTAAATCTTTATTGCAAAAAGAAGAATAAAGTGTACATGGGACATAAAGAGGGATACAGAACAGTATACAAACATATAAGAAGACACCGGGGTTAGTTTATATTATATAAAGACATTAAAAGATGACCATATGCTGTTTTCACAGCCTTTTTGTTGTTGGATTTATAAATTAAATTTTTATAATGTACAACAACCTCATGGAGAAAAAGTACAAAGTTAGTTTTTTTTATTGCTGAATTTACAATTGCCATTATTATTAATACCTTTTATCTAAATGACTTATTTTGTCCGAGGAGCAAGTGAATGTGTAGTGAGCCATTTGTTGCAATTCGCAACCCTCATCACTAGATGCCACTAAAACTTACACGCTGAACCTTTAAATGGATGAATATTACATTTCAAAATGCTTTTATCCCTGTAATTAGTTTCACCAATCTGAATGATATTCAAACATCATTGGTTAATTATCATTGTGGAGTATTTATCTTTTAGACATTGCTCAGGATGTTGGTTCATCACTGAACACTGTAAGTGTGCAAGTTCCATATTTGGTTAATGACTACAGTATTGTGAACTAATTTAATTTATAATGATTTGCCATTTATTATTAGGCATTACTTGTTCTGACCCACTCAGTATTCAAATCATTCCTTTAACTTTTCCAATCTATGTCCTATTTGCAGTCATACATCCGCTGGAGGGTGAAATTAAAATGACATTTCAGCTTTTAGAAAAACACGTTTTGCTCAAGTATGTCATACTAGTGAACAAACTCAGTTTTGCACTGTGGTGTTAAATTGGATTAAAATCTAACCCTCAGGGTTAGCTTTATTGAGAGTGCAGACTTTGAATGAAAATGAGTCCTGCAAATATATAAGACTACGTTTATAATGATTCTTTATGTCTTGTTTAGCTATATCAAACACCAAATCTCTCTATCTCTCGGTCTCTCTGCCTATCCATCTGATGTGGATGTGTTTGCATAATCTCAGTGAAAATGCATTTGTGAATGTCGCATAGCAATGCGAATGTGTACATCTGGGAGAACATCACATGAAAGCCATTTCTTTTCTTGTCGGATAAATGAAATAAAGAAGCACTCTACAGTATGGGCTGCCAAACACACAGTACTTCTTTATTTCCAAACCACACTGGCCCATATTTCATTGACAGCATTTAAAAAGCCTAATTTATAGTATGGCAGTCATGGGACACACTTGATGTTTCCCTGGAAAGGCAGATTTAACTTACTTTCATAATGAGTGGCAGTTCCTCCTTTCATGTGGACCAAACATGTGTGAGGGTTTAATGACAACTTAAGCAGGGTATTTGTCATATAGATATACTGTAGGCAGAAACTTTTTCAGTGTCCTGAGGAGACAATGTGAAACACTATAAACAAACATGGTGTGAGACCTGAGCCGCATGTACTGTACATGAGTGTTCCATTATAATCATAAAAGATTTAACTGGATTAGCATGCGGACATTCTCAGCTGTGGGGATTAGCATTCAACTTCCTAGAAGACATGTATTAGATAATAGGTGTTGGATACAGACCAAATCAAGGTGCATTATATGTGCTGCTCACAAAGCCTTAAGTCAGTTAAGGCGTTTATAAGCAAGTTGTCAGTTTATGAGTTTGATGAAATTATTGTTGCAATGTAACTTTTACTGATCCAGATGTTGTAAGATTATACTCTAGTTGGCTGTTCAGTTGTCTGAATGGCTCATAGTTTCCTGAATTTGATTAAGACGCATATGTTTAATAGAGACATGTGTGTGCGTGATGACAGTGCTCAGGGCAGCATATGTGTGTACCATATGTTTATAAGGAGATGGCTGGTATGCAGCTGGTTAAGCGGCTCTTCAACACACAAACACAAACAACACATGCAGTTCCAGGCAACCTGTCGGGTCAACTCAATGCCTAATCCTTCCCTTGCACATCAAGCTACACTGCTCCACCTGACCTCCTCAATTTTCCACCCTGTTGTCACATTTAACGCACATCCAACCCAACCCCATTACTGGCCTCCAGAGTTCCAGAGCGTTCTGTTTTTTAGACAGAATTGCCTGGAATTTTCACCTAAATTCGATGCTAGTAACTGGTTGCTCATTTCTTATCTGAAATGGATGTCAGTATGTGTATTTTCACACGTCTTCCTCTATTCAACTGACAAAACTGCTGTCTTCTTAAATGCTTTTGACATGGGATTTGGGTCTTTGTAGGTAATGCATAGACTAAAGCAAAGTTGTTAAACATCAATGTATTGATGTATGTTTGAAAGATGTGTCTTATTAAACGTAGTCTGCACAGAAAGGTTACCACAAACACATTGCAGTAAGTACAGTAAATGCGGTAAGTACAGAACAGCTGGCATTTTAAACCAAGGCCGTCTTACTTAGAGGTTAAAACTTTGAGCCATCATGCCAACCACCACTGCTATCATTACACAAATTCATAGCCTCGCTGTATTTTTCTGGCAGCCACTACTTTTTATGTGATTTCTTATTTTTTGTGAATTTGATGGTTCTATCGGTTTCTGCAAACAAATGGTAATTATATGTATCGCACTGTTTTTATTTCAAACAGCAAAGCTAACCCTTGGTTGACCCAGCCATCTTGTCAGTAGGTGTAGGTATTTTGTTGCCTTCCTGTCTGGGAGCAGGGGTGGCATTTGGTCAAGCAGGATTAGACATCTTGATCCCCTGAAAGAGCTGTTGTCTTTCTCAGAGAAGCTACACTGAGAAACAACATGTCAACAACACTGAGCTCATGTTTCTTTGTCATGAAATAGGGACATCAGTCAGTTTACATCCTCTTTACTATTAAAATAATTTGTGGTTAGGTTGTAAGAATAGTCTTTTCTCTTAGTGAACTCGCTATCCCTTCATTAACAGTTTTACTCTTGGTAGCTTTCAGTCAGTCCTTAAAGTCTGATCTAAATCTGCCTTGTTCCATCAGGACATTGGCACAGCGTGCTGCATTCTCCCTATGACCCCTACTACCACAAGTCCAGGACATCTGTTACTATAACTGACATTGTTTAAGTTGCCATATCAGAGTTGTACCATTTATATCCTGAAATCATTGAAACAGCTCCATAACTACAGCAACACAAGCAATTAATGCATTGAAGCAGTGCAAAAATGACCCCTATGTACTTTATGTACTGCATTGCTTCTTGTATCTCCATTATATATTTAAATACAGACATTTATACATGCAAGCACATACATGTGCTATGCTTTGTCCTGAGGTGGCCTGCTTTCTGATAGCTCTGCTGTCCAAGGATTAGTCTCAAAGCTCTGTACTCAGTAAAGACCTGTTCAAGCCCAGTCCCACGCTGAGATTTACTGATAGTTGGCTCTAAGAGCCAAATGTCCTACTGTAGTACCCAGAAACTTGAAAAATCTGGCCAGTGATGGGGAATGAAGTTAGCCAAGGCTAACCTTCAGCAAAACCTCAGCACCAGAAAAACACGTGGGAGCAGCAAAGCCTCTATGAGGCTCCCTGAGGACGACAGCTCTCAAAAGGCTCTTTTCTTTTGATCACACTGGATTTTATATGACTTTGAGTCTATCCTAAAAAGCTGTTCGAATTAAATGGAAGCTGGAGTTTGATCTTGTCAAGAAAGTATGGGAATAGGCAGCTCCTTTGCACCAAGATCTGATCAAATCTTTACCATAAGGTATGTCAGATTTTGCTGTTGTTCAGTGTGTTAGATAGAGTGTTGACACTGATGTCAGTAGTAGTTATGCTTATCTGTGTTATGTGTTTTTTGAATCCTGAAATCCTGTCTGAAAACCAATCTCATTTTATCCTACTTATCACTTGGCTACATGAGGAACAACTAAGTCTATTTAGCAGAGAAAAGTTAAAAGTAAACTAAACTAAGCTTGTGTATACAAAAACTTCACAAGGTACCTCTTAGTCAGTAGTCAGGAGATCACTACAGCCTGTTTGATTTTCAACTCAGTGTTGCATTTTCTTTTATGCAAGAATGGGTTGGGGTTTATTAAGTGTCCTGCATGTTTGGTCTTATATGTATGCTCTTCAGTAAGGCCTGTAAATTGCCAGGATTAACCTGTTGCTTCTCAATGTTTTTTTCCCCAATCTGTTATTGGGTTTTTTATCCATCTCTTATTAGAATTTTGCACGACAACAGCATTTAGTTGATTAGATTTATGATTCATATGCCTAATTTGGGTTGGGTATTTGGGTTGTGCAGGAAATATAGCCCATGTCCACTGGTCGTCAGGGATGTCTTCCATTGATGAGTTTTACTCAGTCTGTAACATGATTTACAAATGTTTAAATTTGGCATCCCTAATCATGACAACTGTATACTGTAGTAAATGCTTGCTCAAAAATATTGTAGGATGTTTGCTTGCCTTGGCTTGTCAAAGATTGAAATCTCTTACATGTGGCATTTTTAGTGCATTACTGGGTTTATAATTGGGGCAGGCAATGTTTTGTTGGAGATTAATATGCATACTTGGACAAAGTTTTGTATTAATGATTTCTAGCAAATCCTAACATTGTCTTAGATGGTCCGTAGACCAGTTTGTTCAGTTGTGTCTCCATTCTCTTATCACAGTGTGAGCTTGGCACCGAGGCAGAACCTCCCACGAATCATCCTAAAAGGAATCTTCCAGGGGGTTAAAGTGGTTCGTGGACCTGACTGGGACTGGGGCAACCAAGACGGTGAGTGGTGGTCTGGGGGGGACTGTTATTAACCGCTAACTTGGCCCTGCCACCTCAGCATGCCCCCTACCTTCTTAATCATGGAGCTGTATCTCTTCAAAGTGTTTCACCATCCACACTGTAAGAATTTTCTAACCTCACGTCTAATTAACCCACGAAATGTTGTGTTAGTATGTGTCTGCGTGCACTTATATTGCCAGTGACTCATCTGAGTCTGTTCCACAGATGTGCCTGTCTGTGTGTCTGTTCAGTGATATTTATGTTCTTTGTTTTTCTTTTCCAGCCCTCTGTAGGGCATACACTGTGAAGCACATTCACTTAAAGTATAGTCTATGTTGCAAGTGTTGAGAAAGTAGAAAATGGAGATTATATCTTGCTTTGAATTGTGTTTTCATGGCTTCCATTAAGTTTCACAGTTTTACTATGAATTGTTGCTGTTTGGAAAAATGTGCTCTCTTCCAGATACAAACAGCCTGTGCTGATGGATGTTTGAAATAGTTTAAATAGTAATTGAAAGCAATCTTCCACATCAGTGGGCTAAATTAAAGCCCTTGAATGTTCCCTTTAGGGAAAGAGGGAATGCTAATATGTCTTTTTGTTTCCTGGTCTGGGGTCATCGTTGTCTGAGAATAGCAACGCTCCCTTTAGTGGGCTAGAGCGAATGAGTCAAAATGTCCTTTTGGTGTCTTTGAAATCAACGCCCTAGGGTTTGGTTAAGTCAGACTTAAATGGTGTATGCGGTAAGTGCATATAGGAAGCTCTGAGCATGCTCAGAAACCCCCAACCCAGTTTCTAGTCTTACAGGTCACTGGTTTAGTTGGTGTGGTTAAGCACTGAGGCAGCTTGATGACAAGGGTTTCTGTACACCATACAACCTGAAATACAGAGCTCTTATAATAATACTAATAACGTGACTTATTTTTTAATGGTGATTCTTTTTATTTGGATGTTTAGGTGTTTGAATAAAGAAGGGGAATTATGTTTTGTCAGGTGTTTGATTCATGAAGCAACCATTAAGAACTGAGCTGGCTCATGAAAATGGAAGTCAAAGACTTTGATACTTGGTAGCTTATGTCCCTTCAGGGAAAATATTTCTCACATGCCTCTGTGTCCTCCATCTCATGTGTCTGTCATCTCATTTGTCTGATATGTTTACATTGTGCTTGTCAAATTTTTTATTTTAGATAATTACATGTGTCCACTGTTGTTCCCACATTTTTCTCCTGACCAAAACCAGATTTTTCTTTATCTAATGACTTTTCTTTCATGTATGAGCTGATTTTTCTTCCACTGCCTTTGTCTGCCCCTTCTTCCACACACTGATGCAATATTGTTTCTTGCATATGTGTGTGTGTTTGTTTGTGTGCATTTATGTGTGTGTAGGTGGGGAGGGTAAGGTTGGGAAGGTAGTGGACATTCGCGGCTGGGACACAGAGTCTGGTCGCAGCGTGGCTAGTGTCACCTGGTCTAATGGCACGACCAATGTCTACCGAATGGGGCACAAGGGCAAGGTAGACCTCAAATTCGTGTCTGATGGCCAAGGAGGCTTCTATTACAAAGACCACCTACCAAAATTAGGTAAGACTAAGATTTCTGTTTCAAAGTATGCATTTATATCTCAGAATTTGTAAAGGAATCACACTGCTAAATTAGATATTGGCCTTCATGACCAATCTGATTCTAGTCTGTTATGTCGCTACACACTGATTAGTGGAGATCAACCACTTGATCCTCAACCTATAAATAATTTCTGCGTGATGTAAGAATGGATTAATCAGAATCTTATTGGGTGACAGTTTCTAAATCCTTGTTTTAAGAAGCTTACCTAAAATAGTTACCATGAGCCCTGCATTATTGTAGTGTTTGGTATTCTTGTGTGACGTTTTTACATTGCCGAAAATATAGTCACGCTGACTTCTCATCCAAACTATTGTTGATGTTGACTTTTGAAAAACCCTCCTAAGTCTAATTGTTGATGCCGACACCTGTCTATCCAGGAGAGCATGCAGAGCTGCAGCGCCAGGAGAGTGCTGATGGTCACTCCTTCCAGCAGGGCGACAAGGTCAAATGTCTCTTGGAGGTGGACATTCTGCGACAGATGCAGGAGGGCCACGGAGGGTGGAACCCCAAAATGGCAGAGGTATTAGAGTCTTCCCTTCTGCCGGAAAGAAACACCACACAATTCAATACAATGAAATCTTTACACATAGTATGTTCTCTGTCTTTTAGACAAACATGGCCTCACAGTCAAAACACACATGCCTCTAGAATCTGGCATACATAATGTTTATATAAGTGGCTCAGATGGACGTTGGCGTGCAACAGAGTGAAAGAAAACAGCATCCATCTCTCACATCGCAGCTGCTAAAAGCAGCATTAAGGTCACAGCCATGCAGAGGCAGACCCAGGGTGAAACAGCCTATTTGTGTTTGCAGTACATTTGCCGGATTGGGACTGTTCATAGAATCACTGACCGAGGGGATGTCAGAGTCCAGTACAGCAACAACATCCGCTGGACTTTCCATCCTGGGGCTCTCACCAAGGTACTGAGTTACAGATACGTTTACAGATACGCCAGATGACCTTACAGTAAGATCTCACGTAGTTCAGATCTTCAGTTTTACAGGAGTGTAGCTTAATTAACAGCACGTCAGCTGAACAATTTGTCTGTCTTTCTTTCCGCTAGGTGAACACATTTGGAGTCGGTGAACTAGTAAGAGTATTGGAGGACATGGAGAGTGTGAAGAGACTGCAGGCTGGCCATGGAGAGTGGACAGACAGCATGGCTCCTGTATGCTTATTTAACAATAAATGATAGCTTTCTTATATTAACTTGTGGTGGTATTTTAGCATTAGTTACGAGGGCAGAATATATGCCATACTGTGCCAGAGGTGTGACTTAGACTTGAGTCAGGCTCATGTCATGAATCTTTAGACCAAGATCATGATGACTTTAAGGTTGATTTGATAAAATCCAAAAAGACTGAAAACTTATTTTCACTTGGAATGATGATTTATTAGATACTTTATATTATGTTTATTTGCTATACTAACTGTTACTGGACTGGAGAGATGCATTTTTAAAATTTGGTGAATGCAGCATAATAACAAGGTTTAGTACTTGGACATAACTTGCAACTTGACTCTTGACTTGCATGTCTGGATGCGTGACTTGACTTGGCATGTCGTAACCAAGACTTGAGACTTGCTTGTCAGAACAATCACTTTCTCTCATCTCTGTATACTGGTATCTGTGTGCATGGGGATAACTGTGTCTCACTTGCTTTGTAAAACCTTATATGGCAGACATCCGTCTGACCTACTTCGTGAAAATTGGGCGTACATCAGGAAGTAATCAAGTTAATAGCTGTTTCCTTGAATGGCCTGGTTATTTAACTTAAATTAAAAAGGCACAGAAATTGGTCATGTAAAAACCATGAATAGTTCCTGGTTGATTAGTTTGTCCTCTCTTTATTTCATTATTTGTCCCTGTCAGTCTTTTTCTTTTCCACCCACCCTTGCCACCTCCACCTTACTTACTGTTTGTTTTCTAGGTGCTTGGCCAGGCTGGGAAGGTATTGAAAGTATACGCGGATGGTGACCTAAGGGTGGCGTTTGGAGGCCAGACTTGGACTTTCAACCCAGCATGCCTCTCGGCCCAGCCCGTGGAGGTGGATGCCAACCTCATGACAGCCGAGAACCCCAACGAATCTGGAAGTAAGGCCTCTGCTGGGACTAGGGAGCTCATCTCTAACACTCCAGCTCCAGCTTTACCTTCTGCGTGCATTCATTCATCCTCCCATGCCCTCTTTGCAGCTCTGCCTCTGCCATGCACGCTTTCACATACAGGCTGCAACTGTGGCATTCATGGCCACAGCCACTTTGATTATCTGTCTGTCTTTTTTCAGCAATGTGTTTACATGGTGTCATTCCTTGAAATGGTCTTTTCTATAGCATGTCATGATCCTGCATGTTGACAGCGAGAGGCTTTTGCAGCGCAGCACGTTTGTCATCATTTCAGAAGTTCTCAGCAGTTTCGTGATCATGACTAAATCTATTCTGTGCATGTGTTCATTTCAGCGGATGGGAAGTTGACAACAGAGTGATGTGTGTATGTGTGTTTGTGATTATGTGAACGGTCAGATTGCACTGCATGGAGGGACATTTTGACTCATTCCTGTGGTTTTGCATTAAGCTCAGCTATTTTGGCCCTCTGGAAGGCTTTGTGACACCATTTCTAATCATGTTGTTCACGTTAGACTAATTAAGTTAAATTTATCTTTTTTTCTCTCTTGTCTGTCCCCTTTTCACAACCTGTTTCTTCTCTCTTTCCCCCCTCTCCATCTGCCTATGTCTCTGTTCAGGTACTGTCATCTCAGTGTTGGAGAAGCTGCTGTCTCAGTCCACAGAGCAGGACAATCCCAGCCGACTGGTCATTGAGGCAGCACACGGCAGTGCCAACAAAGTGCGGGAGTTGGTGCAGAAGTATCCTGACAAGGTTAGTGCAGCACTCTTTCTCTTTGCTGCAGTCCACTGCCCGTTCCAAGAGCTTTTTCCACCAGGAAAACAAGACTGGGGGTGGGGAAGTTAAGGACCAGAGCCAGATAAGGCAAGGGGCAAGCCATACACTGGTCTGTTCAATGAAATAAAGACTCTGATTCTGGACTATCCAAATCTTCACACCACACACTACTAAAGTATACCGCAAAACTACTAACTCTGTATTATTAAGCTATAGCACAGCACCAAAACATGGGGCAGAGCATTTTCTTGCCACTCTTTCTTGCAGTGAATATACAACTGCCATATTAATGCATTTACATGCATAAAAGAGTCAATGATAAGAAATAAAAAATACTGTAGCAAGTAGGTAAATGTACATTAGCCTACATTTACCCTATAAAACTTTAATTTGCTAACTTTCCCATCTGTTGTCTTAGGCTTAGCCATATTGATTTATACTTATCTAGAGAGCCTAAATTCATATAAATTACATTTTCAAATGTTTGTATTTTCACCAGTGCATCATTCCAGTCCTGTGGAGTACTGCTGTCTCTCCTTTTACAAAACAAATCTCCTTTTTAGCAACAGCAAAGGTTACAGACATACAACTTATAACTTATTATAATGTTGATTAGGCAGTCTTGACAGAATCCCTATTATACATAATATAATTAGTAATTTATGTATTCACTCCTGTAAAAGAGAATTTTAATCTCAGTAAGGCACTTCTCCTGGTTAAATAAATTTATATTTTATGTCTTAGCAGATGTAAATTTGAGAGCATTTGTTTGGTATCTCACTATGGCTACAGCGCTCTGCCTAGCCACAGTTAACTAATCTGTTTAGCATAATACAGTGAATTAAATACCTGACAAATCAAGGTATTTAATCACAAGATCCAAAGAATCCTGTCAATCCAGGAGGCCATAAAACAGTATCGGTAAATGATTTGCAGCTCAGCCCACAATGGCCTAAAACAACCAGAGATATTAAATGTATAGATATCTTGTGTAAAAATAGCAAAATCTATTAATTGTTGAATCACTCTTGTCTTACAATATACACTATGTCCTCATATCAACCGTAGTTGGTAGACCAAACAAGTAGACTATTGTTTTTAACTGAACATTTTGCTAAGCTCTAGTCTGACAGTCGTAAAAAACACAGATTTAATTTAAAATGAAAATGGGAAACCGAAAGACTTGAAAGACAATGAAAACCACCATAGTTTCTTCAAAGCAGGGAAGTGGAACCATAGTGTGATAATAGCACAAGTGAGCATTTGCAGTTTGAAATTGATGCTAATCAAGCTAATGTGAATCATGCTAACTTGGGTCAGCCTACAAAACCTAATAATAATGTGATATTATAATTGCTGTTACATATGATTTAGTATATACAGAACATTATATAATTGTCTGAGATGTACTTTAAAAAAAAACAAAAAAAGTAAAAAGTACTTATTTTATTAAGTTCTTGACTACATTTCTACTCAGTGATGACTACACTACTAATTAGGATTATGTATCACGTGTATGACAAATGAGATTGGTGCTCATGCTCAGATTATTTCTAGCCAATCTGTGTTCATCTTGTGGTTGTTGTTCATGCTCAGATTATTTCCAGCCAATCTATGTTTAGCTCTGTTAGTGTCCAGGCCATCATTGCCTCTAATGAACCTTCAACCACATTTGTGTTCCTGGCAGGTGGATATAAAGAACCAGGGCAAGACTGCACTGCAGGTTGCTGCTCACCAAGGCCACATGGAGGTGGTGAAGGCCCTGCTGCAGGCCAACGGCTCCATAGAGGTCAAGGATGAAGATGGAGATACAGCATTACACTACACTGCCTTCGGGTGAGGACGGCACACACAGTTTTCCCGCACACAAACAAACACAGTGCTCTTTGTTGCTCTAGAAAAAAAACGCAGACTGACAGATGTACAGTAGAGCTCTTGCCTGTCTCTTTCCTTGTTTTGTGATAATCCTTTCGCAGAAGTGACAGCATTAAAGTGTTCGCTTAATCCATCAGACACATCTCCTCCCACCTCACATGCTCAGGAATTCAGCATTTGACAAAATATCTTTATACTTATATCTTTGTTTAACTGCTTTCTTGCAGTAGTTGTAAACACTGAAACAAAATGGTAGGGTTTAAAATGGATACTTGTGAAATTTAGCATGAATCCCTTGAATTAACTTGTTTATGGTGTCTTTCCGTTTAGTAATCAAGCAGAGATTGCACGGCTGCTGCTGAGCAAGGGGGCAAATGTCAACCTCCTAAACAACTCCATGTGCACAGCGCTCCACATTGCCGTCAACAAGGGCTTCACCGATGTGGTGCGAGTATTGACCGAACATTCAGCTGATGTCAATCTCCAGGTGAGAGGGCCTTGCATGCCCCTGCACTGCAGATTGGCGTTGGATTAAAATTTGTCACCCTACAAACCCCAGTGAAGATTTTGTTTAAATATTTTTTTGTCTCTTCTTACATATTGTTTAACTACATTAACCGGTCTTGATTTATCCTGCGCTGTGGCATTTAAAATAAGTGAAAACCAGCTGTGCTAGTGTTGTTTTAGGATCAATATAGTGTACCATTGGCTTTGTAAACATGAAATAATTAGCTAGTTGCAAATATTTGTGTCATGTGTGATGGTGGGTGATGATGAGGTTCTTTTCACAATCAGCCGAAGGAATCACACAGTCCGTCCATTTCATGGTTTGGTCTCTTGGTTGACCGTTGAGTGAGTATCTGAGAAGCCAGTAAATTAGCTTCTCTGGCGGTGTAAGTCCTTTGCTATACACATATTGTAAGCGACTCACATGTTGGCATTTCAAGGATTCCTTAACACACTAATTTTCTGATATTTGACTGTGACCCTGCTTCACTTCAGCCCTCAGCCTCCTTAAGGCCATATAGGTTCTTTTAGGGCATTTTAGGGCAACTGTCTAACATGCCTGCAACCAGGCCTGGAGTTCACTAACTGCATATTTGTTTCTGCTTGAGTAGTGTGACAACTCAGGTAATAACATGGAGTAGCAGCCCAGAATTTGTTTTAGTTTGTGCCACATATAATCAGAATGTACTGCAGCATCCATAACGCTACTAAAATAGACCTACAATTAGTATACATAATTTAGATTTCAGGATTACACCAAATTATTGGTATGTTGATATTATATGGTATGTATTATATATATTCAGTGATTGATTGATGCTGTTTGGAGAACAAAGTTGCATTCCCTGGTCCCCTCTACTGGACATGGTGATTCATAGGATTTCCATCATAACAACTTTTAAACGGTATTTTACATTTTGCCGTGTCGTGTGTTAACACTCCACAAGAAAAGGCGCAAAGCACAGTCTCACTCACTGTGCCCGTGTTTTCTTCACCAATCAGGATTCATATGGGGACACACCGCTCCATGACGCCATTGCTAAAGACTTCCGCAATATTATCGAGATCCTGGTTGTGGTGCCCAACATTGACTTTACCCAGCAAAACCACAGAGGTTTCAACTTGCTGCACCATGCTGCCCTCAAAGGAAACAAACTGTGAGTAGATATCATATACAAAAATTTCTGCAAGCACGTTTGAAGCTTGGGCGTTGACCCAGGCGCGGCACAAGAAGTGAAATTAGATATTGAAGCCCAAACTTCTTGCTAAAATATTTATTGACTTTTTCTAAAGATTATGGGGCATTTCATTAAAGTTGGGGTTTTCTTGGAGTCACGGGGGAAATACTAGGGACAAATCAGGACTAGTTTGGAGTGGTATAATTTACATTCATTCAATCAGGCAGTCAAGATCATCACTGTTATTTTAAATACATCTTTAATCACACAAATCTGGACAGTCTCCTATCATGTGAGCTTTAATGGAAGTCAGTCAGTATGGGAAATAATAGCCATATTTTTTAAGTGTGCCCTCCTTAAATCTAGCTTGCCATCAAGCGTGTTTGCACCAAATAAATTAAACTGCTTGCCAACAGTGTTTGTCTCAAGATGTGAGTTGAAAATAATCAGTCCATCTACAGAGTGTCGTGTCTGTTCTTTTCACTCCGCTCAGTTGTTCTCATTGTCTTGGTAGTGATTTCATCGAAATTATGGTTATGGGCGTGTGTGTGGGAATCTCTCCTGTGTGTTCAAATGAGGACTCAAAGGTCAACTTTCAACACTATCCGTTACAGATAGAGAGCTCATCTCCCACACAGCTTCTGCTGCTGTCAGCAGGCTGGCAGTCGATATCAGGCAAAAATGCAACAACGTTTCCTTTTGCACCCTGTTTCCCTACAGACTGACATATCCTCCACATTTTTACCAAACTACATTTAGTGTAGCCATTTTTCAGCAATGCAGAGTCTGGGATTCATGGGTGGACAAAAATTCCTAAAATCCAAACAAGCTATGAACAATGTATTGGATAATTTTTTCACAACACAGCAGTCATAAAAGCTTTCATGACTTGGCTGTAGGTTGTATCACTGCGGTGTCACAGTGCTTATTGAGAGGGAGGAGAAGGAAAACAAATTTATTTTTATGAAAACACATGTATTTTAACTTAATTCCAAAATGACTCCGTGTATTGTTTTCCTCACTTGAACTGAAGTCATTTCACTCTAGACCAAAGTGCTTCAGGCCAAACATCAAAGCTGCCTCATTGACACCTGTCACAGACACTTCATGGTCTTCTGACTGTGTTAGTTTTAGCCTGGTTGACACTGGAGGTGGCTAATCACGAACTGAGCCTTGACAGCGCACTGGCCAGGCAGGCAGAATTGCAATAATTGGATGTTCTCTCAATGATAAGGTTTCATCCCTCAAACACAACTCATACATCTGGCTCCTTTGCACATGTTGCATCACATCTGCTCCCACACACCCTGAATATCCTGGAAATGTAGCAAGCATGCATCAAAAGTGATTGTTTCCTTTTTTAGAAGTTATCACAGTTCTCAGTAGTACTTTTTTATCCCGTGACTTAAACCACCATCAGACATCGTCATGGATATAATGCATGCATTACTGCAACTGACCGTTGTTGATATGACCTGTAACATTATTTTCCACGCTATTTATAGCAGCACAGTTGATTAATTAAGTGGAAATTTTAAGTTGTTTCCAGTGCAGTCAAGGTTGCCAACATTGCCAAGATCAAGAAAATATCATATTGTCCACCGGTTTGAAGTCTCCTTACAGGTCTGAGTGAATATTTTTCACAGTGCACCAAGTCTTCCTGGGCTTTTATGACCTCCATATGAACTCTCTTTCCCAAATTATAACAAAACCATATAATGGGAAATTATCCCTGGCTCTTTTTAAAGAGGTGCCATAAAGGAAAGGAAGCAAGAATGAAATGAACACCAGTGTCACCGTAAATTTCCTCCCTAAGGTGATGCCACTTCATTCAAGGTTTCAGTCTAATTTCTAAGTATATTTTATGTAATTTCATTGAAATGTATATTCCACAGACTTGGGAGCCCTGTTATTATGATTAATATAGATTTTCAGGCTGTGAGTAGATTACCATTGCTTGGTCTTCTGCTTTTTTGTCTGCAGACTCTCCACCACCTACTTAAGTCAGTTTGTCAAATAATAAACCAGTCAAAAATGAGCACAAGTTGAACCATTGTTCTCGTCAAAGGAAAGCTTTGAAGTGTAAATTCTGACCTCTAAACTTCACCTGCCAGTGACATTTCCTTATCGCTCTGACGTCCAGCCCCCTTCTAGCTCATACTGCACGCACCTCAAATATGATCCTACAAAGCTCTGAACATGAGTGCAATATGTGGACATACTGTTTGAACAGGGAAAATAAAGACAAACGGCAAGCAATAACTGCAAGTGAGAGAGAAAAAAGAACGGGAGCGGAGGCCACAGTAGGCAGTCATTTATTAAGTGCCCGATCTGTTCTGGCAAGTGTCATATGTGCAGTGCTGGGAGTTTAGGCTGCACTCTCCAGCATTCATTTAGCCTGACATCAGCCGCAGTGCCAAAAGTAGAGACACAGGATTTACAGTGTTCAGAATTAGTTTGGTTCACCAGTTCATTCATATATCATCAGCAGGCCTACGCCACATTTATAGTCCAAATGCTGTGTGTTATTTGGATATTTTCTTGGTTGTTCTGGTTCAAAAACAAATTGTAATGTACAGTTTGAATCTGCACAGATTAGATTGAGGTTAAACACATCTCATTACAGTCTATCTCCTATTTAAGGAGTAAATTCAGCGTTCATAGTATTCATTGGAATTTATAATTATGGCTTTTCATTATTATGCACTTTGATGATGTTTATCCGCCTTTTATTTACAACTACCAAAGTATTATCTGTACCTTTGCCTGGGAATTTCCCTGTTTGGTCGCTTGATAATTGCGTTACTGTCCTCACTATTTGAAAGTAAAGATTAGGGGTTTTTTTAGTACGATGTGACACTGCTTAGAGTTCCTGTGAGCAGCTGTTGCCCTCCGTCTTTGAAAGATGAGAATGTTTTGTTTATTACAGTATTTATTTATTGTGAGGAAATGGAAAATGGGGACTACAGGCCAAGTTCACAAACAGTCCTGGGAAAGAAAAGAAACAAGGCAAGTGGCCAGATTTTTACAGCTTGACAGTAGAGGCAAATGGATGTACAGGATGGTTAGTCTGTTACTTTAGTTACTTGAAAAGAAAGAATACCTGGCTGGATGTCTCCCTCTTTCCTTTAATCTCACCTCCTCGTAGCTTCTTTGTTTTCACCTCACTTTCATCACATTTTGTTCCCCAACCGTTTCTTTTATTGTTCCTATTCTTCCAACTTCTATTCCTATTTACTCCGGTGTTTCTGGAGTTACATACTGCCTGTCACACACCAGATATATTTCACAGCATATGCACTCTCAAATAAAAATCCTGTATTTTCATTTCAGGTTAAATAATTAGTACCTGTCATGGTACATTTGTTCGGCTTTTATCAAGCTTCGATCAAGAAGCTACAGTTAGAAGCTTGTTACAAACAAGCATGATGCAAACTCCCAAAAATAACCAAATGATGACTTCAGTATCCTGAAAAGTCATTACAGCGTGCCCGAGATGCCCTCTAGCTGTTGTGTGTGTGTGAGGCATGTTCGTACAAAACTGCCTCAAAACGTCAGCCCAAGTCTGAATATTCATGAACACAGAAGAATACCGATTATGGAAATAATACAGAGAAATCAGGCGTAGTGGGTGCAAAGGTGACACAATTCACATGGCTGTGTCTACTTCAGATCTGCGAGGATGAGGTCTTTAGCTAACGAAGGTGCTCTGGAGACGACTCTTACCTTCACCACACACACACACCCACACCCACAGAGCTGCATTGCAGGTACCAGTGACCTCCAACACAATGTCCCCCCAACAGCTTTCATCCTTAATAGATCTAGAGGAGGTCCTTACCACAGTGCCTATACATGTACCAAAGTAGCTCTCTGATCTCAGTGGTCCAACTCTCAGTAATGCATTTAAAATGTATCATCTATCTGCTGCTAATGAGCCTGTAAACGTTAATTGTTAGGTATCAAAATTGAAGCTACATGAAAATCTGCCCATTTTTACACTGATGCAAAAATAATTGTAATTTCTCAGGTTGTTCTTCAGAGTTATTGTTTTCTAACTTAAAATAAACAGTAGATAGTATATACTGATGTATTCTTCACAATACATATTGCAACCATATCTAATAGTTTGGTCAAACCTTTGGGCAGGGTAATCGTAAGAACACAAATCAATACATGTATATACACATGCATACCATATACGTAGCATAAATGCATGCCAATTGTAGGTAATTGTCTTGCAAATAGCACATTTATTGGTACTCAGTGGTTATACATTGTTGTTACAAAAATGTAATGTTAGGCTGGAAATAATAAGCATCCCGTGTGAGCTGTCCATCAGCATAAATTTGATACAGTTTGCTGCTGGAAAAACTGACACCAGCCTCATCTATCAACAGCAGCAAAGCAGTTTCCAAACAGTGGAATCCAGCAGAGCTAACATTAAAATTACCCTAACATTGAATGGTTTGGGTCATGTCGCACTAAGGACTCCATGCTGGCAAGCCAGCTTCCTGGGTGCTCACTAAACACATCATGAAGCATGCTCAGCTACAGAGCAGAGGACAACTCAACAATGCAGCCAAGCCTCACACTGCAGCATCAGACCGCTGCATGTTCAGGATCACTGAATGTGGTATCATCCTTCAGAAAAACTGAACTTCTTGCCTTTTATTAACATTAACATTAAATATAGCATTCTCTAATCTGACAAAACTAGATAGATGCCAAAGAGGATTGTTAATATTTGTGACCTTGAAAGATTTGAGTATTTAATCTCCTCAGGTGTTTCAAGCTTCGAGCTATGAGTTCTTGATTGTGGTGTTGGTGTTCTACTGTACATGTTATAGCACACTGGTTGAATAGAAAGTTCAAAGAATGATCTACTATTATTTAAGGCTTAAATCAGCAATTTACGTGTAAAGCGGTGGGTAGGGGAGTTTTAATGAAAAGGCTGGCCTTTTTCATGTCGAGTAGTTCGAGGTCAGCAGGCTGCATTTAGTGAGAACCCACTGCCTGTTGTGCCTGAGTGTTTTCTTGTTACATCGGCTTGTTAGCAGTTCTGCAACAGCTGCATCTCTGTCCAAGCTCATGTCAAATACACTGTAGCACAGGATAACATAAGCTTCATATTTTTAATATTATTCATATTTTGAGAGGTTTTACGCATGTTATACAGTCTGCAGTGGTGTTGTTGTAGATGCACTGTCACTCTGTCTAATCAGGTTAATGTATGTAATACTAAGCTTGAATCAAGATATGGGTATGAAAGTGGCCTTTTAAATATATTATGTAGTATCACATTTAATCAGAGAATGTTAATACTGGCCTCAATCAGGGTTGTAACCAGGGTTTAGAAATGAGTGAGGTCCAGTCCAGATTTATTTTTTTTAATAGATCTTATATTTACAGTAATTCATACCAAATTTACACCTAAAAACAAACCAAAGTTATACACTAGTCACACAAACTAATGATCTATAATGAAATAAATACAAAGGAACCTGTGCGTTTGCTGTAAAGGCTTTAACCGGGCAGTGGACACACTAAGTGCAGGCTGTTCATCATGATCTTTCTCTCCACTGCTTGGCTCACTAAAATTGCTTAAAATAAGAGAGCTAAATCTATCTCAAATGTAGCCTATACCTGTCATCGCAGGACTATAATGCTGGAATGACATGTGCAGAATACATAATGGGCACTATTGTTACTATAAGACGACATTATACAGCAGGTTGGTGCTGAATTCAGAGGATGCTCTAGCTGATATAACAGCCTAATAATGTGACATCAGCAGGTGTTTGCACTGTTTTGTCACGATTATAGGAGCTACGTTGGTGTGAGGCGCGGATCGGCTCTGACATTATCTGAATAATCATGTACGCATAAATCATCCGCCTGCCCCCCATCCAACCAATTATTTTCTCAGATTTAGCTCACCTCTACCATTCTTTTAAACTTTCCAGGTGGTTTCTTTATTGTGCTGTACTGATGTATAAGTGTTTTCTTTAACGATTTACTTTCATGATTATAGAGGCTGCTGTCAGTCATTTTAAACGTTTCCGTGGGTGCAGTAATGTCACAGCAAATACTGTGTGACTAAAAACTGTAGTTACAATCTTGACAGGACAAACACAGGAAACTGCAGAGGAAACAGAATTCAACTTTTAGCTACTGATATAATTTAGATGCTCTGGTGGAGCGCAGTCTTCATTCACCCAAAAAGTCACGAAACGTATCGCCCAAAACTCTGCCTGCAAACAGCGATGCTCCCAATTATTTCTTGCGCAAGGTTTTCATGTGTTTCCCCAAGTGTGACACTGAGTGTGGAACAGTTTTTAAAGTTGAAGATTGCCACGGTGTAATCAACTGCGCCCGCATGGTCCTAAAGCCTTCATTTAAGTTGATTGTGTTATCAATAGTTTTTAGGCTATTTGAATTATTTTATCGATAGGCTATAGCCTACACATAATTACGGAGGTCCGGACCCCGGTGACCACACAGCTGGTTGAGGCCTTTTTTAACTGTGCACTACATAGTACCAGTAGCAGTTTTTTATAGTGAGAGATGGTAAAAAAACACTGAAGCAACTATTAGAGGTTACACTGTTCTTAATTGAAGCCATGAGGAGTGTTGTGCGTTCTACCTAATTGAGCCTTGTGTTGTTTGTCCTGGTGAAGGGCCACAGAGAAGATCCTGGCCCGAGCACGGCAGCTGGTGGATGTTAAGAAAGAGGATGGCTTCTCTGCGCTGCATCTGGCCGCCCTCAACAACCACCGCGATGTTGCGGAGATCCTCATCAAGGAGGTGAGCTGAAGAGTCCTTTAAATAGTTTTCATGCATTTTTTCTTTAATGCTGCTTTTTAATTTTTAGATTAATACAGATTATGAGTACAGCAATGTTTTAAATACATTTATTTAAACTGTAGGAAAACGTTTGATTTTCCCTTACCCCTTTCTTGTAGAGAAAACTTTTTTCCTACCTCCTCTTCTACAGGGACGCTGCGACATCAACATCCGCAACAACCGGAACCAGACACCGCTGCAGCTGGCGGTGACGCAGGGCCACATGGACCTGGTGCAGCTGCTGGTGGCCGAGGGCGCCGACGTCAACATGGAGGACGAGGACGGTGACACGGCCATGCACGTGGCCCTCCTTCGCCCGCAGCTGGCCAATGTCATGCTAAGCCCCACCGTGGGAACCAGCAGCACCGAGGAAAACAGTGAAGGTTGCTCCTCCACATCGCTGTACTGCAGGGTGAGTACCGATGATAGGGCAACAAGGGAGGTGGCTTGTTGTTGATTTGTTCCTTAAACGTGTTACTTATTTTTCATTTTAAAGTAGTATTATTTATTCTAAGTGGGGCAGTTTGTTAGATCAACTTGTAGTTGGAACATCAGATCAAGAAAACAACTACTTTCAAATTACTGTCAGTATATTCAGCTGACATTGACTGCCATTAAATGTCATTCTAGGACACCTGCGTTTCAGACCAAAACAAATGGACGCTACAGCCCACCAGACTCCATTGAGGAAAAACAGTAATTTTACCTCAGTTATTCAAACTGTACAGAAACATAATAAAACTCACCCAAACTGTCTTTCCACTGTTCCAACAATCACCAAACTCTGGTTTGGTTGAAATATATCATTCATTCAAGGTGTTAGATGAGAAAAGAAACAGCCGCTGCTCTCCTCAAAGCCAACAGCTTCACAGCAAGGGATTCACATGCACTAACATGCACGCATGGCCAGACTGGTTCCCAAAGATGCTTGGATGACAACACCACCATATAATTTCATAGCAAACAATTGTGTGCTGCTATATTAATGTTCTGAATCTCATATACAGAATGTGATGGTGAACTGAGGAGAAAGGCTTGTGCTTTATTATGTAAACAGGCGAGAGGGGTTAACTAAGGACAAAGTAATCAGATAAGAGTACAATAAAGTGGTACTATATTTATGTTAAAGCAGGTGTTACATATACAGGATGTAATTTTTTTTTCTGGAGGAAAACAAAAATTAAAAACTTAAGCGATTAATGAATTTACAATTTTGCAAATACCAGGTCTTTGACTGGCACCAGACTGAGAAAAATGCTGTAATGATTGAAAGAGGAAGCGCTGAAGGGTACTGAAGAGGCCCCACTTAGTGTGGCAATATAAAAATTTGGCAAAGACGGAGCTGTAGTTAAGACGTCAGTGATAAATTTAGGAGTACGGTGTAAACACACCACGTCATTTTCCCCCAGAGTATGTCTTGAACTTGGACAGAACCACACTCCATTACTTTAAGGAATGTAAAAGAAGTCGTGTGGTATTATTCATCCTCAGAGGCACAGTCATTACTGACAGAATCCTCAGGCCTCCCTCTAGTACGTCTAACCTTAATGTGGCACTTTGACATTGTAGTTTTTTTCTGAGTAAAGTAATTTTGTGGGCGGAAGATCCTAGGTTATTACCACTGCTGTCAACAACAACTTATGGCATGTTAATATTTATTATGGCAAGCACTGTGTGAAGGATAATGCTACTGCCAAAGAGTTGCTTTCTTTGCTGTTTGGTGCTGAAGAGAGCAGTGCAACTGCTTCAAAACTGGGTCATAAAACTAAAATAGCGAGCTGATAGTTGCTAAAATGCTTTGTAGAGCTGAGGGGCAATGCAGAGTTGGGTGAAAATTCTCTGTGGATTCACATCACGACAACTGACACCTCTCACCTTGTACATTATGATCTAACACGGTGTTAATAAACAAAAAAAAATAGTGAAAAGAGCGGCTTTAAACGCGCTAAACGACTGGATTCAGCTGATGTAGATGTCAACATTGTAACTGTATCAATCTGGTGATGAGGTTCAGAATTATAATGTAATCGCTTTCATACTTTCAGAGAGCAATTGGCTCACAAGAACCAGTTTAATATTCGTCATTAAGAGACCGTGCCTCCATGCATTGTGAAGCACGTTTTATATGGGCGCTTTAAATCCTGTTACATCTGTTGGTGTTGATATCATTGCGCCAATGAAGAATGTCCTTTCTGGTCTACATGACCGCAAACACTGCAGCTCCACTCAATATCCTGGGCACCTGCCAAGCTAGCGCGCACACACACACACACACACACACACAGCACACACAGATACTCATGAAGTGCTCAGGGCTGTTTTGGCCACTGTCAGCAGATGAGTTAGTTATTCAGTGTTGATTTAGATTTGGGTTTATGTATCCGCCTCAGCTGGACGGCGCTGGTTTTACTTAAATTACCTTTATGTTGCTCACAATCGGCTGTGCCCTTGACTAGGTTTTCAAAGTATTCTCAACTACTACCATTTCCACAACATCAGTTCTCAGGCTTATTGAGAGTATATTTGTAAAACGGGGTCTCCCTCAAAATCACCGTCTCTTCTTCTGTCTTTCCCATTTCTTTCTCCTCTTCATCATCATGTGTATCCGCAGCTGAGCGCTTCAGGTCTTCTGGGGAATACCGAGATGAGTGTTGGTGCAGCTATTGCTTGTTTTCTAGCACAGGAAGGGGCTGACATCAACTATGCCAACCACAAGGGCAAGAGTCCGCTGGACCTGGTGGCAGACAGCACGATGCTGCAGCTCATCAAGAACTTCTCTGAGAAACACAGGTAGATGTCTGTAAAAACAGTGCTACTATTGTAAGATAATGCCTAATATTACTAAATATGTTGGATTGATAAACCAAAGAGTAGATTTTTAATGCACATTTGCACTGTTCTGTTCGAAACTGCCATTGCCCTTTTACATGTAAATGAACTATGCATTTAAAGATGGAGAAACATCATGCTATGGGAATCACATTAGAGTAAAAAAAAATGCACTTGGTGTTGCGCGTTGTTACAGGTTGCAGCGTCTGCAGGCCATCACGTGTGGACAGGGCCTGAGCAGCGCCAGCTTGCGGCGGGTCCACACAACACCCAACACCATGACCAACCTGGTTCTTCCCACACTACCAGGGCCCAGCGAATGCCTGATCTGCTCCGAGCTGTCTCTGCTGGTTCTCTTCTGCCCCTGCCAGCACAGCGTGGCCTGTGAAGGTGGGTGGAGACTGGACTCTGTGGTGGAGGACTCATCAGTGGGGGAATGATGAAGCCAATGGCAGCAAAGGGCAAACTGTTAACAGACAGATAGAGGGTGTGTGTGGTGTGTGTGTGTGTGTGTGTGTGTGTGTTTGAAGAAAAAAAAAAGAGCAAATGGGGGGAAAAAAATGTTTTTCAGGTGTATAATAGTATCATAATGTATCATAGTAACAACTTAGAAACTCAGCTTAGTACTCTACTAACATATTAGTTCATGTATAATTCATGTATACACCTTGACGAGGACGGAAAGGGTTTTAACACAGATTAGTGTTGGTGTAGCGTAGCGGCATGACTGTGGGGACTGTGATTTCTGACTAGCCATGGTTCTATCTATTAAATATATACCAGAACCTACCAGAACAGGACTCTGAAGTATTCTCGTGATGTCTAAAGTTTGATTGCTCTGTTTTATTTATTTAGATTTTAAGAAATCTCAGAATTTTTCTCTACTGTTCACTTTCTATCTTGGATATTAAATAACGTGGGCAAATTCTCTATACTGTGGTAGCATTTTTTTTTGTCAAATTGCTGACCTTGCACTTGTCTAAACAGAGTGTGCCCATCGAATGAAGAAATGCATCAAATGCCAGGTCACAATCACCAAGAAAATTAGACAAGGTAAGAAGAATCCTCTTATTCTTTTTATCTGAGATGCATTAATAGAACATGGATATAATAATATAATTTTCAAACAATGATGGGCCTACAGCTTGTATTTTTAACTTTTTTTTTGATTTATTATTGTCTAAATGATTTACTGTGTTAATCTGTTTTAAAATAATAAAATGTTGCTTTCAGTGTTATATTTTTCCCTGAGTTTCTTTTAATGATTTTCAAGTAGAATATGAGCTGTGCATATTTTTCTATCATGTGGACATCCCATAGATGACTTTAAAAGTCTGTCTGTAGCGGTGAACACTAGTGTTAAGGCGTCTGTGAGACACAGCTTTGTGTGGTAGATTTAAGCACCTCTGTTTCAAGGACAAGCCACCAGTGAAACTGTCATGTCATGCAGTGTCCAGGTCACGTTGCTATAGTATAGCTCCTTCTTAGCTTTGACCCTTATGTCACAGTCTCAACAAGACTGGGCAGCTTGCATACATTTGACTTCTATTAACATCAGAAATGATTGTCTAAGTCTGTAAATGCAGTTCTTCATTGCTTTCTTCATTGCTTTGACCTCACTCACATTGATGACCCCTCTCCACAGACCAAACGGAGGTTGACTGCAGTCCTGGCACAGAGAACTCGGACCAGCACAACCTGCTGGAGCAGCTGCAGTCTCGCTACCGACAGATGGAGGAGCGGATCACCTGCCCCATCTGCATCGACAACCACATCAAGCTGGTCTTCCAGTGCGGACACGCCTCCTGCATCGACTGCAGCGCTGCGCTCAAGACCTGCCCGATTTGCCGGCAGACCATCCGCGAGCGGATCCAGTTATTTGTCTAAGCTTCTCTGTCCTCTCAGCTCTTAACGACCCAAAGAGGATGTTGAAGGGGGCTAGAGAGAAGGGGGCTAGAGAGAAGGGGGGGTGGGTGGGAGGGGGCGGCTGTTACCTTTTGAAGACCTAGTGACCTACTTCTAACCATAGGTTGCTTTTACTATAAGATGCTGTGTTACATCTCTGAGAGTCCACTGTTACATTTGAGTAGTTTCCCTCTCCAGCAGCGCAGGCAGGAACATGTCGATGACTTTAACCTAATTTTCGTCATCAGAACTCTTGTTCTGCCGAGCCCCACGGGAAGCAGACAAGGTGAATTTCTGAGGTGAAGCTGCCACTTTGAATACTCTGATTGGTAAGCCGGGAGAAAACGATCCCTCGCCTCTTCTTTTCCTCACTCCCGCCCAGCCTCCACCTCCTGTAGTCTGTCCTTTCATTGCTGCTTTAAGTGGATGTCTGTTACCCATCATCCTCTCTGGCTGTCTGGCCTCCTCTGTTTACAAGGCTGCGCAGAATCAGTCCCCATCTTATCGCCCCTCAGACTGTCCTGTGAATTATGTTGGCTCTCATTTGTACCGATCTCTTAATAATCAGTGTTAGTCTCTGCAGAGGGAGTTGGTATAACTAAAGGCTCTCTATATACTCCCCAGCCACTCGCCTGTATGCAAGGGGAAATACACACTATATATGCATGAATATATGCATATTGTAAAGCTGAAAATGACTTGGTTGTCATGGGTGATTTGTCCTTGCTGTTGTTTTATTTCTCTCTGGTTACATTTGTGTTTTTTAATGTACTGATAAGTACAGACTTTTATTTATGCGTGAAAGCTGGTATTATTTGGTATGTCCTTTTTGTTGTTGGTGTTGGCTTGGCAAAAATGTTCGTTTCTACTGAAATTCACCCCAAGCCTATGTCCTCTACTCAGGGTATCAAATCATTGAAAGCACTTGTGATATCCATAAAAGGTTAAAGAGCCCCTCCCCACCACCACCCACCCCATAACAGAGCTACAGTGTGTCTGACCATTTTAGAAAGAAAAGGTCATTAATAACCTGTCATATAGTAGTGCATAGTGACTCCAAATTGCAGAAGACACACTCTTTATTAACCCTAAAATTGTTATTCTCATTAGTGAAATGAATGTTTGCCGAAGAGTTTCTACAACAAAACTGACATTTGGCATCCCACAAGCATCAGTCAGCATTATGTGTTTATCTTTGGACAGAAAGCATTGTGTTGGTCCTGCCTGTTTGTGTCTGAAGACCACAGCCTCTCCTGGTGAAGAGACCCCAACAAGCATCGGGTTCACAATTTAAAGGAGGATACTTGTGTTTTGTTCCACCAAATGTATTGGAAGATATAGAATCAGAAGGGCAAAAACATGACATGGTTCTGTTGCACCTCTAGTTCCGCATCCACCTTCCTTGCCGTGTCATTTTAGATGAGACCAACGTGTACCTTCCTAGTCGTGTCCCCCTTTCTCCTTTGGAGTTCTGGATTGTACATCATCTTCATCCTTTCTAATGTTTTGGTGTGTTTTCTTGAAGGGCTTATGCACATGAGAAAAAAAATATCGAGTCTATTTTAATCTTTATTTAATTTTTATGTACTATAATAAACTTCCAGAGACAGGAGTGTTTTTTTTTTTGGTCTTCATTAGATCCCTGATTTTGGGTGAGCCAATGTTAAAGATGTACATTTGAATGTCAGAGGGAAAATATGTACCCTGTCTCACTCTGCCTTTTTTATGTGTAAAGAAAAAAGATGTAAGAGAAGGAGATGGAGAGACTGAGACGTGTTTACCACGAGGTTTACTTTGAGGAAAGAACCTTTACATCAGTGCCAAATCGCATGAGGATGTGCATGGGCATGCACGCCCGAATTTATCTACAAGGACTATGCTAAACCCCTCTAAGCTCAAGTGAGGGTTCAATTATTCCAGCAGTGTGAATTCAACTAAAAGCAAACTTTAAACATAATATTTCATTTACTTCAAAATCAGAAGTATTATCTCAGCACATTCAGTTACTGGTGTTAGAAGTTGAGGTAATGGTGTTAGCCTCCTAACTTTAGCTGTAGTGCTCTGAGCCTCCTCGTGTTCTCGATGACAAGTGATACAACACTCACTTTAAAAAATATTACCAGTCCCATATTGTTTGGAGCTTTTTACAAGTATATATATTTATATTTTGTGAAACATTATCAATCAAGGGACACGTTTCTTACATAAATTTCGACATTTTAAGGATTGTCCATAGATGTTCTAAGTTGATGGGTTTACAGGCAAAGGCAATAATGTTTTAGAAAAATGGGGAAGATGTTTGAGTTCCTTCTTTTCCTCTCCCTTAAGGAGGTGGCTGTGAGGGCGGGAAACAATTTATGTATAAAAACACTATTAAAGCAGCAAATGTTACTATTGGTGTTTGTACAGTTCAGCTCTTGGAGTTCTGATGTTGGCCTTACTGTCCATTCCTCCTCTGTTGATGTTTTTTCAGTTGTATTCTGTACAAAAATATTTTGCAATAAATATGGAACTGTTTTCTAAGGACCTGTTGTAGGGGCCTTTTTTTTGTTGTTTCAAAAAACAGTTTGAGTTTGAGACATTTGTCATGTAACAAAAATGATGCAGTTTCATTGAACCCTACAAGAACAGATTTAGTGTAGGATATAGTGAATATTTTGAAATGTTGAGTGACTCTTGAGAATATAGGACGGTCAACATAGGTAGTTATGTAGGTAGGTTAAATAGCCAATTACTACTTACACTTAACTTGTGTATCTCAAGCAATGTCATTGTAAAGTATTTTCTTAGATAAATAACTACTGTAAGCAAATTACATTATGGTGAAGATGTCATGTAGCGTCTGTCTCACCATTATGTTTTAAATTTCAGATGTGAAGCACCAGAATGAGGCAGCAGACTCAATAAATGGAAACTTTGTTTTGACATGAACTCCCCTTTAACTTATCAAGTGGTGGGTCTGTATTAATGACACAGAGACAAATGAATAGCATAAGAGATCAGTTGTATGTATGCATTTGCTACTCTTCATTATTTTTAAATTTCAAGCTCAAATTCTCATTGGCTCCAGCAAGTTAGAGTGATATTCAAATGCAAACAATACATCAGTTACACACTGGAATTAGTCATAAATTGAACAGATTTGTGGCATTGTCAGACTGATACATATTAAAGAATAAATCACTTTTACATGCACTTAACAAAAGTAAGGCAACACAGGTCTGGTTGGTGGCAGAGAAAACAGAGAGATGGTGATTTTATTATTGGGGTTATATTTTAAAACACTGGACCCTTTCAGTTGTTGTTTAAAAAATGTTTTAGTCAAACTTTCCCTGACTCTAGTTAGGAAGAAAATAATTAAAATGATACTTAAATAAATGAAAGATTTTGTTCAATTTAAAAAAAAAAGTGTAATATTTGAATATGTTTTGACCCGTTTCACATTTCATATCCACCACCTGAAATACTCCTCAGGTAAACAGCCGGCCAGCAGGTTGTTGTGTTTGCTGTTACCTGTTTAGGCTGGCTGGTATCTGCGCAGCCTCTCCAGTTAAATGCTGCTGTGTGCCACTTCTTAGTCCTAATTGTCTTATCGCTCAGATGGCTTTGGCAAATGACTCAGCGCTTTAGCAGTGACGTCTCCTCTGAGGACAGGATGAGAATACAATGCCTTAACAATCTGTTTTTCTTATATATGCATCTACAAAGCGAAAAAAGAAATGAATGTAAAAGATCTACTAGGCTGTGGTGATGTACAGTAAAGTGTGAAGAATTTTGTAAGTACAGTTTGGTGGACCAATAGGTATTAATTAGCAACTTTCAACTTCATGAAGTGTCCTGTCACAATCACATGATAGGACCATCTTACCTACACTGCTTTTGTAAAGCTTAGAAAGTTATCTTTTTTAGATTGTGTCAGGGAGGAGCTGATTCATCTATTTGTGGTGTGGTTGTATTATGTATTATGATATCCTCGCTAGTCAGTCAGTACACAGATTTCGTCGCAAGGAGATAAACAAGAACTGTTCAAACATACAAAGGAGAGCAGCTACATTTGACTGAAGATTACTAATATGAATGTGTAATATGTAAGGCACTTATTTGACTGTAAATGCAGTTTGACAATACAGAAAAAATTTTACAAAGACAGGAAAAAAAATGATTAGAATATAAATGTGTTTTGTTTTTTTATTCGATATTTTCCTTAAACATGTAGTGGATTGGAGTATTGGGTTGTAACCTGAGTACATTTTTCTAATTTCATTTTGTCAAAAGTATAAAGCATTAATACATTCATAACAACAGGTCAAAACATGATGATGTAGGTTCAAGGAAAAATGTTGACGTATGCTTAGAACTTCAATAGTTTTTCAAAGTTGCTGTGACATTTTTTGAATGACAGTTCCTAACTTCCTGTGGAGAATTTATATCTTCTTATATCTTCATCCACTTTATTTAAAAGTTCACACCCCTAATGTGTGAACTCCAAATGAAATTCATTTTGATGTATGGGACAGCCCTGTCACGTTCCAATTTCACCAACACTGCTCCTTGTACTAAGATTAGCATTTTGTTTATTTGTTTTCCTGCATTATTATTATTTGACTGCATTTACAGTCACATAAGTGCCTTACATATTACATATTCATATTAATAATGTTCAGCAAAATTTCCTCCTCTCCTTTGTATATTTGAACAGTTCTTATGTATCTCCTTGTGATGAAATTTGTGAAGATAAGGGCCATAGTTAATTTGAAAAAACAACAGGATATCATAACATAATACAACAACACCACAGATAGATGAATCAGCTCCTCCCTTACACAATCTAACAAAAACAAAACTGTTTTCTAAGCTTTACAAAAGCAGTACAGGTAAGAGGGTCCTATTGTCTTGTCCACATCGTTTGTCAGAGTGGCAGAGCTTGTGTGGAAAGGTTGTGATGAGAGAGCACCATCTAGAGGGGGATGTAATATCAAAGGAACGACCGTTGTTTCCTGTTGTGTAACCGTACCGATCATGAGTAGAACAGACCAACAACCAACCCGACACACACCGCATTTTTCTGAATGTTCGTCCATTTTGTAGCTGCTTGTTTTTCTAGGAGCTGGAAGTCATTTTCAACAGGTGAAGCGAAGAGAGGAACGCCAGCGCCTGACTCTCAGGTGTCCTACAGGGGGCGCACCTGCTCACAGATCTCCTCCCTGAACCCCGTATGTGCTGAGGCTGCTTCTGCCATCAACTCACTGACTCATTTTCCCTCAGTGCTTCCTTGTGCCCTGGTGTCAGCACTCACTGCTCTGTTGCATAGTGCTTTCACCTCAGCACTGCATCATATAGTTTGTTCACAAATTCCTCACTTGTCCTTCTTCGCATTTGTGGTGTTAATTCACATTTTTTAAACAGGTTGGAGCCGACATCACACTCACTTGATTGCAGGCATCAGATGGAGAGGAGGTTACACTTTAGATCAGCAGTTCAGACAGGCGTTTGTTCAGAACACGCCTTCATTTTACAAGCAGAACACACCCTTAGTGCATTAAGTAAAAAAACACTTGTCATATGTCATTGTTTGTGAATCATCTACAATGAGACAAGTTTAAAGTGACAGGTTTTAGATATATTGGGAAATATGCTTATTTGTAAATATAATTAATCATATCATATAATTATATTTTATAATAAAGCAAAGCTTCATAATAATGGTTGGTTAAAGTATTTTCTTAGGATTAGCTAACACAAAGAAAAACAAATGAGTATCGCCTGCCCTTTCTGATTTTGACCTGTAATAGCATGAGGATGCACATTCATGTACACACGGGTGGCATGATACATAGTCCTAACAGTGGTTTCACACTATTCCACTGAAGACTGCAAGCTAGTACATATGGGTAAAAACAATGCTGGATTTAAAATATGTTTTATAAGGGAGGAAATGCACTCAACACGTTTGTTAGAACTCTGGGAGATCAATGCAGAAAACTGCACAGGGCACCTTCAGTTGACCTCCATAGAGAAACTGACCCGGAATGGAGGGACAGAATAGAATATATGAAGATGGTAGATTCGGCCCTGGGGTAGCTGAAAGCAGGTTCCCCTGGCTGACACCTCCCATGCTGCCTCAGATTCCAGTTTCAGGTTTTTGGCAAGTTGTACTGGTTGGTTTGGACATTCAATATGTTTACACAATTACATGGTTACAGTGAACAACCTGGTTAAGATAAAGTAAACACATATCCCTGATAAAATATTCTTTTCATGAACCTTGAGCTTTGTTTCATTTGTTTCATTAAATTGTTTGCATGGTTTGCAGTAACTCAATTTCACACAAAACCTGAAATCACATTTTAGTTTTAGAAATGGATTAATGTTTGGTTCCACGTAATAAGAAAAGGAAAATATATACCACTTCAGTTTCTGGTGATTTATTTTACTCAAAACTCTAAATTTTTGGCACAAAGGTAAATAAAAAACAAATTTACTGTAAGACACTGATACATTTTTTTTTACACATTATGGTGAGCAGAGGTTTAATAAATGATTCAGAGAGAACCTGCTGTGCTGTTTCCTATTTCCAAAAAAAACCAACAAGCAAACCAACAAAGGCAGGAAAGCAATACTAATCTATAATTAATTTGTCTTCCCTTATCGGATTAAAACATGTACGCGTTCTGATTGCTAAATACTAGCTGCCACAAAGCTATAGCCAGATCCATGATCTCCTGAGACACAGCTACGAGGTGTGGCACCCTGAGTGAGTCCACGTTTATGTATGTACAAACATTATATAAAAGTATATAAAAAGTATATATAAAAGAAATCAGGACCAGCGTTTCCTCTGAGCTGTTAGTTTACTCTGAACTTTATACAGTTATCAGGTTTAGATGTTTTGCTGGAGAACGCCATAAAATGCCAGGAGTTTTCTGTAGCTTGGGGTTTAGTGATTTGACTCCACTGCAGCAGAACAAAACCAGCAATTCAAGATGAGGTGGCTTTGTTTACACTGTCACTAAACACCTGTTGTCCCATCAACAAGTTGTGCTGCATCAGTTGTTTCTCATTCCAAATATGAATGAAAAATCAGCAGTTAAACAGTTGCCGAGGATTTGTTGATGTGGTTTGTGTCGTGGAACTGGGCGGTTTGGGTTGAGGAAGATGCCGTTGTTGCTATTGTTTCATGAATGCAGCGGCAGAGTGTAATCTTACAGCAACTTATCTGAGGGAAAGGAGCAGATGATGATTATAAAAGATGAAATTTATCTTCTTTTGAGCATGATTTTTCAAAGTCAGACCACTAACACACACACACACAAATCACTAACATTAAATAAGATAATGGGAAATGGGAGATTAAGAAGAATCCTCACCCAAAATCACCCAAACAACAGCTTCAGGCCAAAATGATGTGTCTATTACTACATTTATAAGCATTTGTACATAATAATAAAAATGTATTTAAATGAAAGTCTTCAGTCCATCACTACACCACTTCATTAAATATCATTAAATTGTTTCTGCTGCACAGT